AGGACTATTATAAGCTAATTAGTACTAAGCCTTTAAGGTATTACCTTTTAAAGGTATTATAATAAGCCTTTTATAGTTATAAGTTATAAGGTTTTATAAGTCTTATAACTATTAAGGCTCCCTTTATAGTTTATTACTATTTTATTACTTTTAGGACTATTATAAGCTAACTAGTACTAAGTCTTTAAGGTATTACTCTTTAAAGGTATTATAGTAAGCCTTTTATAGCTATAAGTTATAAGGCTTTATAGGTTTTATAGCTACTAAGGCTCCTTTATAGCTATAATCTTATAAAAGCCTAAGCCTTTATAAGCTTATTACTATTCTATTACTTATAGGACTATTATAGTTAATTAGTATACTTAATATTAGTATAGTACTAGTATAGTACTAGTATAATATACTTAGTACTAATATAGTATTAGTATAGTGCCTAGTATATCTTAGCTAGTAGTCCTTTATATATCTTATAGCCTTTAGGATAAGGTGCCTTTATTAAATATAGTTTATAGTATAACTTTTATTTTCTATAAAATTTATTTATATAGGTTTTTAAGTTAAATTACCTTATAAATAAAAAGTAGAAAATATAGTAATTATAAAGCCCTTAATATAGTAATAAGGCCCCCTATATAACTATAAGCTACCCTATACCTAATATAATTATAAGCTACTTTATACCTAATATAACTATAAGCTACCCTATAGCTAGAAGAAAAAGGTAACTTATATATACTAATAAGTACTATTATACCTATTAGTAAGTAGGAGAATTAGGCTACTATTATAGTATATTATAGTAGCTATAGTAGTTACTACTTTTCCTTATAGTTATTATTTTATTCCTTATAGTTATTATTTTATTCTATTAGTTATTTTTCCTAGTTAATATAGATTAAGTAGGAGTAATAATAGGTAGCTTAGAAGCTAAAAGAATAATCTCCTATTACCTAGTATATCTAGTACTTACCTATACTATATAACTAGATAGAAGTTATATAATATAATAACTTTACCTCTTACCCTATATATGCTTTATTGGTCTTAATATAAATAGTATATAAGTTCTTTTATAGACTTTAAGCTAGCCTAATTTACCTTTATTATTTTTTAAAACTTATAATACTTTAGTTAACTTAAAGTAAATAGTATTTTTATAAGTATTAAACCTAGATAAGATTTTAGTCTTTTTATAATATTATATTAAAAACTAATACTATTTAACTTTAATATATCTAGCTATATTTTAAATTATAAAGAACTTATAAAACCCTATTCTTTTACTTAAGCCTTAATATTTAAAGTCTTATTAATATTATTTTAAAACCTATTACTTATAGAATAGTTATTATTATTATAAAAAGTCTTAAAATTACCTTAAAATTATATAATAGTATTCTATAGAAAGGTACCCTAATAAGCCTATTCTTTATTAGCTACCTAATAGTAAAGAATATTATAATAGTCTTTAATAAAGAAAGAGTAGTTATAATAAAGAATTAAAGGGTTATTCTTACTACCTAATAAATTATTAAAGTCTATATAGTTAACTATATTACTTTAAGTATTAATATATTAGTTTATATAATAAATAATTTAAAGTATAAGTTATAATATAATTAACTTAAATATTTAGAAGAATAGAATATTATTAAACTTATTTTTATTTTTATTAGTATAAAGCCTATTAGCTAATATAAATATTATATTAGCTATCTTATAAGAAGATAAAAAGAAAGCCTTTATATTTATTTATTCTAAAAAGAAATATATTCTTTTAAAAGCCTTTATACTAATATTATTAATACCCTATTTATCTTTTAAAAGAAGGATTAATACTAAGTTATTATTATTAATAATTATATTAGAATATATTAACTATTCCTTATTAAAAAGAAATCTTAGCTATTTAATATAATACTAAATCTCTTAAAAATATAAGAATATTTAAAATATAAATACTACTTTATTTAATTAGATTAAGGGGAAGAGAATATTATAACCTAGTTTAAGAACTCTTATATTTCCTTAAGTATATACTTATAGTATTCTATTACTAATTAATATTAATAGAATAGTATTATTAAGATTAGGAATAAAATACTATAAAATAAGCTTTTTTTTATTATATATTAGTTAAAAGTATTAATTAAATTCTAGCTAGTTATAGTATAAGCCTATATTACTTTTTAATAATATAACCTTATAATAAAGAATAATAAATTAATAACTCTTTATAAACTATAGTTTAGAAATAAATTAAACCTTAGTTATTTATAAATTATAAGTAATTATAGGTAGTAAAAAACCTCTTATTATATTTTAAGAATAGTTTTTAAAACTATTCTATATATCTTAATTAAATATAAAAGCTAAACTAACTATATTATCTTAAATACTAATAAACCTGATAAACTAATAATTATTAATAATATTATCTTTTAAGAATAGCCTAACTAGCTATTTAAAGATTTTAAATATAACCTTCTTTAGTAGAATAACTCTACCTTAAGCTATAAGAGTAAAACTATATACTACTCTTTAAATTAATAGGTAATTAATAGGAGATAAAAGTATATAGAAATTACTCTAATTACTTATAACTTATTTACTAGTAAAAGCTTTATAATAGAGTACTATAATATACCTACTATCTTAACTATAAAGTCTAAATAAATAATACTTTTTATATTCTTTATATTAGTAGTATTAAGAATTATTAATAAAAATAATAATATTTATAACCTAGCTAATAATAATAACTTTATTAGCTATTTATATATACTAAATAATAATAAATTTAAATTAATATTACTAGATATTTAATTAACTTTATATTCTATCTTTACTATTAGTATTAATAAGATACTATTTAACCTTTTTAAAATACCTTTATCTTTAGCTTTAAATAATACTATTAAGTAAGAAAAAAGACTTATAATATAAATTAAAATTCTAATTAAATTAGTCTTAATATCTTAAAATTACTAATATATACTTTATTTTAATCTTAATAATATAATAAACCTTATTATATTTAATAACCTTATTTATAATAAAGAACCTATAATATATAAATAAGCTATTCTTTATCTTAATTTATAAAAGTAGAAAGGCTTAATAGTAAATAAGTATAACTTTTTAATAAAGAATTATATTATAATTATAGTTAATAAGCCTAAAAATAAGACTATTCTTCTAGGTAAGTAAATATATAAACTTAAAAGAGGTATTAATAATAAGGTTATTTATTAAAAATCCTAATATATAGTAAAAGGTTTTAATTAATATAAAAGATTTAATTACTATAAAATATTTATAAATATACTAAAAATTTTAATATTATATTTACTATTAGTAATTATAGCTACCTTAAACCTTAAGGTTAAGTAAATAGATATTAAGATTACCTTTCTTTATAGTTTTATAAATACTAAAGTCTATATTAAAATACTTAAAGGATATTAAAAAGAATACCTTAAGAAAGTATAAAAGCTACTAAAGTCCTTATATAAGCTAAAGTAAGCCTTATAAATCTAGTATATAACCCTTTATAAAATACCTTAAAGTCTTAGCTTTAAGCCTATATAGCTTAATTAATCCTTATTTATTTATAAAAATAGCCTAATTATTATAGTTTATATTAATAATCTTCTTATTATTAATAAAGATAAGATTATTATTATAAAGATTAAAAAAGCCTTATTAGATACTTATAAGATAATAAATATAAGCTTTATTAATTACTATTTTAATATTAATATCTATTAAAACTAATATATAAAAACCTTTATATTCTCTTAAAGTAAATATATTAAAGCCTTTTTAAAAAAAGCTAGCCTTTTTAATTATAAACCTTATAATTTACTAATAAGTCCTACTATTAAAAGTATTAAATAATAACTAACTATTAAAAATAGCTAGTATACTAAAACCTATAAAAGCCTAATTTATTTTTCTAACTACTTTAAGCCTAATATCTACTTTATTATTAGCTATTACTATAGATTTATAATTACCTTACTAATAGAATATATTACTAGCCTAAAATAGTTTCTATAATATATTAAAGGTATTACTAACTATAAACTTATTTTTATAAGACCTAATAAAGAACCTTAGGTTTATTATAATACTAACTATATTAGCTACTAATAAATATATAAATCTATTAATAGCTTTATTATTACCTTAGGAAGTAGTATTATATTTTAATACTTAAAACTATAGAATATTATTATATACTTAACTATTAAAGTAAAGTATATTTTCTAGTATAATATAGCCTAAAAAGCTATCTAGATTTAATAGCTTTATTATATTATTATAAAAACCCTTAAAGAAAAGCCTATATATATTAAAACTACTATTTAGGCTAATAACTCTAGTACTATTACCTAAACTTCTAATATTTAAAAATACCCCTATATAAAGTATATAAATATTTAATACTATTAATTATATAATAAGAATATACTATACTAATTAAACTTTAATTAAATTCTAAATATTAAGAATATTACTAATATTATAACTAAGCTATTATTAAAGCTAGCCTTTTATAAGTATAAATACTATTTAGGATTATATTAAGTACCTTTTAAGCTATAATTTTCTAGGGGTTTATTTTAAAAGTATTATACTTTTAAAGCCTTTAGTCTTTAAGGTATTATCTATTAAAACTATTCTATAAGTATTATAGTTAATTAGCTTTATATCTTTAAAGTATTATTCTTTATAAGTATTATAGTAAATTCTTTATTAGTATTATTAGTATTAGCCTTTAAAGTATTACTTTCTAAAGGCTAGCTAGCTTTTTATTAATATCTTTATTAGTATTAGCCTTTAAGGTATTACTTTTTAAAGATTAATAAGCTTTCTATTAATACTTTTATTAATACTAGCCTTTAAGGTATTACTTTTTAAAGGCTAGTAAGCTCTTTATTAATACTTCTATTAGTATTAGTCTTTAAGGTACTACCCTCTAAAGGCTAGTAAGCTCTCTATTTACTACTATTTTATTACTTTTAAAACTATTATAAACTAACTAATATTAAACCTTTAAGGTATTACCTTTTAAAGGTATTATAATAAACCTTTTATAATTATAAGTTATAAGGTTTTATAGGTTTTATAGCTATTAAGGCTTTTTTATAGCTTATTATTATTTTATTATTTTTAAGATTATTATAAGCTAATTAGTATTAAGCCTTTAAGGTATTACTTTTTAAAGGTATTATAATAAGTCTTTTATAATTATAAGTTATAAGGTTTTATAGGTCTTATAGCTATTAAGGCTTTTTTATAATTTACTACTATTTTATTACTTTTAGAACTATTATAAGCTAACTAATACTAAACCTCTAAGGTATTACCTTCTAAAGGTATTATAGTAAGCCTTTTATAGCTATAAATTATAAGGTTTTATAGGTCTTATAGTTATTAAGGCTTTCTTATAGTTATAATCTTATAAAAGCCTAAGCCTTTATAAGTTTATTACTATTTTATTACTTTTAAAACTATTATAATTAATTAATATACTTAGTACTAGTATAGTATTAGTATAGTATACCTAATACTAGTATAGTACTAGTATAGTACTAGTATAGTATACTTAATATTAGTATAGTATTAGTATAGTATACTTAATATTAGTATAATACTTAGTATACCTTAGCTAATAGTCTTTTATATATCTTATAGCCTTTAGGATAAAATACCCTTATTAAATATAGTTTATAGTATAACTTTTATTTTTTATAAAATTTATTTATATAGGTCTTTTAGTTAAATTACCTTATAAGTAAAAAATAAAAAATATAATAATTATAAAACCCCTAATATAATAATAAAGCCTTCTATATAACTATAAACTACCCTATACCTAGTATAATTATAAGCTACCTTATACTTAAAAGAAAAAAATAACTTATATATACTAATAAGTACTATTATATTTATTAGTAAGTAAGAGAATTAGGCTACTATTATAGTATATTATAGTAGCTATAGTAGTTACTACTTTTCCTTATAGTTACTATTTTATTCTTTATAGTTACTATTTTATTCTATTATTTATTTTTCTAGTTATTTTTCCTAGTTAATATAGATTAAGTAGGAGTAATAATAAGTAGCTTAGAAGCTAAAAGAATAATCTCCTATTATCTAGTATATTTAGTACTTACTTATACTATATAACTAGATAGAAGTTATATAATATAATACCTTTACCTCTTACCCTATATATACCCTATTAATCTTAATAATATTAAGGCTATATAGTATACCTAATTTTAAAACCTTATTATTAATATAATAATAATAAAAAATTTATATACTAATTAAACTAAATAATCTATTTAGTATCTTTACTAATTATAAGGTAAAGAAAAACTAGAGTACTTAAAGGAAAACCTTAACTATATTTTATAGAATTCTTTATAGTCTTATTCTAAAGTATATAAGGGTTTAATAAAACCCCTTTTAATACTAAATACTAGGTTTTTATCTATATCCTAGCCTATATTTAGCCTATATTACTCTAGCTAGCTAAGCCTATTAATTACCTTCCTTTTCTCTAGGTTTTATTTATATTAAGAAGGTTATATTTAATAATAAGTAGCTTTAAAGCTAGAAGAATAATCTCCTATTACCTAGTATATCTAATACTTACCTATAGTATATAACTAGATAAAAATTATATAATATAATAACTTTACCTCTTACCTTATATATAATAATAGGTAGCTTAGAAGCTAGAAGAATAATCTCCTATTACCTAGTATATTTAGTACTTATCTATACTATATAACTAGATAGAAGTTATATAATATAATAACTTTACCTTTTACCTTATATATACCTTATTAGTCCTAATAAGTTATAAGCCTAATAGTACTTATATTATAAAAGCTATTAATAAAATAAAGGAAAGTATTAATTTCTTATTAAATTTACTTACTATCTATATAAGCTAATATTTATTATAAAACTTAAGAAATTTATAACTCTTTATATATAAGAAAAGGAAAGACCTTAAATTCTAGCTAATTTAGAGTATATTTAATAAGTCTATTTACTATAAAAATTCTATATAAAGAAAAAGAAATTCTACTATTATACCTTACTTAGTAATTTATATATAGACTTTATATACTTATTTTATATATATTATAATATAAATTTACTTAATATAGTTATAGCCTCTAAATAAATATACTTATTAAATTACTTACTATAATCTATAGTCTTAACTATTATAAAAGGTATATAGTAACTACTTATTTAGTAAAAAGAATTCCTTATTATTTACTTAAATACTTCTTACCTTTAAGTAAAATATAAAGTATTTAGTTTAAAAAGAAAGACTATATATTTAGCTTATTATCCTCTTTATTATCTTAAAGTTCTATTTCCTTAGTAAATAATACTATTAGTAACTTAACTTCTATATATAAGCTAAAAAATCTTTATAGCCTTATTACCTTTTTTATTATTTAGTACTATATCTTTAATATTAAAAGAGGTATTAAATATCTTAAAACTTAAATTTAAAAGTAATTAGGCTAAATAGAAGCTAAAAATAACTAATATACTAAGATTTAGTAATCTTAATAAATTACTATTAAAAGGCTAAAAAAATAGCTTTATCTTAATTAAAGCTTATAATAATAAAACTATAAAGAATCTTATTTAGAAATAGTAATAAGATATTAAGGACTAGCCTTAGGATATTTATAGGTAGGTATTATAATAGTATTAACTCTTTTATAGAGTAAAAAAGAAAGGAAAGCTAGTCTATCTATCTACTCTAGTATATAAAGGGGGTATACTAAGAGTATACCTATAGTAGCCTTAGGCTAAGCCTAACTCCTTTATATACCCCCTTTCCTTCTTTATTACCCTAATTATATATATTATACTTATCTTATTAGGATTACTATTCTAAGTAAGTAATAGTTATAAGATTATAGGTATAGAGTGCCTATAGAGGTACTTTATAAGAATAGTTATATAATAATAATTCTTAATTAACTAATAAAATAAACTATAGAAAGGAGAGGTTATAGTTTAAATATATAAATAGGTAGTACCTTAAATACTACTAGGAAATTATAAGAATAAAGGAATAATTAGTAGTTATATATATTAGTAGTTAATAGCTTATAAGTAATTACTTTAGTTACTTATAGGAGGTAATAATACCTTTATAGTAGTCTAGCTTTATTAGCTTAGTTACCTACTATAATAGCCTTTATAATACCCTATATTAAGGCTATAGGTATTAAGACTTCTTTATATATTATTATATAGTATAATTACTATATATATACTATATAGTATAACTAGCTACTATATATAACTATATATAGTATAAATTTATTTACTATATACTTTTATATATAATATATATTCTAAATATCTATTATACTTAGCTAACTATATTTATTATAGTACTTATTAGTATAATACTAGTAGTCTCTTTTTTTAACTAAGTTATATAGCCTTTAGGCCTTTTTATAGCTTTTATAATATAGTTAACCTAGCCTTAAATATATAGTATTAACTAATTATTATTAACTAGCTTTTATAGTACTTTATTTAAAGTAGTCTTTATTAGTATATTTATAAGGTTATTATTACTATTAATCTAATAAACCTTAGTAAGCTTATAGTATTTATAGAACTAGTATAGTATTATAATATTAATTATTAGGTACTTTTTCTTAGTAGTTTTAAGCTTTATTAGGTATTTATATAGTAAAAATAAATCTATATAAATTACTATTAAAACTATTACTAAGCCTATTAACTTTATAATCCTATTTAAAATAATAAAAAGGGTATAATCTATATTAGTATTTAGAATTATACTATATAACTTTAATACTAATATACTTTAAGTAATATACTTACTTTTTATTAAGCTTTAAGTAATAATATTACTTTAAATAGTAATTTTAGTATAGTTAATAGGTTCTTTATTATTTAAAATAATTATATATCTTAGCTAAGAACTTAAATCTTTATTATTAGTAAAGGAATTATTAATAAAAATAAATAACTTAGTTATTCCTAACTAGATTAGTAAATACTAAAGGCTTTAAGTAGTATTTTTAATTTATTATTAAATATAGGTATTTAGGTATTTAAAATTATTTTTTTTAAGCTTCTTAAATTATATAATAATAAATAGGTTAAATATAGTTTCTAATTAGTAAATTAAGGCTAAGTAGGTATTTTAAGCTTACTACTTAATATACTTTTTTAGGTTAATTAGTAATTAAAGTTTTTCTAATTATCTTTTTAAGATTATTAGAATAGTATTATTAATACTTAAAAAGATATAATATTTATTAAATATTAATAGATCTTTTTTAGCTTAGCCTAGAATCTAATAATAATAAAGGTATTAGCTTTTTATTTATTAAAAATAATAATATTAAGACTAATTATATTATTAATCTATATACTAATAATATCTAGATTAAGGCTTAAAGCTAGTAAAAGGTATTAGTTATAAATTAATAATAATATTCTAAGCTTCTTAAGATAGTAAGTAAAGTATATTACCTATTAGTAAGTACTAGACTTAAGGATACTATATAGTAGTAAGATAACCTTAATAATAATACCTTTAAAGTAAAGATAGTAGAGTTTTAAGGGAATCTAGGTAAAAATATACTACTAAAAATAAGTTCTAGCCTATATATAAGCCTAGATAATATCCTAAAGCTATAATAGCTAACCTTATTAGATTTAGGTTAATATAAAGCCTAAGATTAGGTATTAGCCTATTTTCTAGATAGTTAGATTAGGTAAGTAGTATATCTTTACTATAATCTTAATAATTATATAAAACTATATATATTTTTTCTATAGGTTTTTTAATAGTATTAAACTTAATTTTATTAATTATTTAGAACTTAAATAGGTATTTATAGTAAATAATAAGGTTAAATTTAATAAATTAAAAGACTTTATATTCTAAAAGGCTTTATAACTTCTTTTTAATAAAGGTAAAGAATAAAGGCTTATTATTAAGAAATATACTATTTTTTTAAAGCTTTAAGTAGTATTTTATATTATTCTTCTTTTTAATAAAAAGAAATATTTTATCTTTAGTTATTTTTAATAAAATTTAATACTTTATAGGTTAGTATTTTATCTTTATATTAAGAATTACTTATAAATACCTAGGCTTATAAGGAATAATAACTTAGATTTATTTAATAGGCTTTAAAATAGCCTTAAAAGGCTTTAGAATAGTTTTAATAGGTTTTAAAGTAGTCTTAATAGGCTTTAAAAAGGCTTTAATAATCCTAAAGGCTTAATAATTATAGTCTAGGTTATTATTAAAGTTATACTTATTATTAGTATTATTTTTAAAGGCTTATAGTACTTCTAGGTTTATATCTAGGTTCTTTTTAGTAAAGAATAAGTATATAGTAGTTATATAAAAGTTAATAGATTTAAATAGTATTTTTATAGTATATTTTCTAGTATTTATATTTATTAGCTTATAAAGGCTAATCTAACTATTATCTTTATATTAAATATAAATATTTAATTATAATAATAAGTAGTATAGAAGGCTTATATTAAGACTATTATATATAGCTAGTACCTTATATACTTACTATAAGGAGAGGGCTTTCTAAATAGTATTAGTTATTTTTTAAAGGGCTTTAGTATATTAGGCTATTAAAGAGTATAATAAAGAGCCTTTTAAAAGGTAAGGGTAGGTATTAAAGACTAGTAAGGTAGGTACTAGGTTATTAAGGCTAATAAAGTTATTTATAGCCTTAATAGTAAATTATAAGTACTTATTAGTATTTAAAGTATTTTATAGCTTTTTATAAATAATATTATAAATATATTAAAAAAAGATATAATAATATTCTAATTTATTAATTATATTATAAGCTTTTATAGATATTAGATATATTTAAATATTTAGTTTTTTAGTATATTTATAGAATTTAGTAAATAAAAAGTTACTTTTAATATTATAAATAATCTATTTAAAGGGCTTAAGGTATATATTAATCTAATAATACTAGAGTATATTTTAAAGGCTTTTAGTACTTTCTAAAGAGCTTTTTATACTTTTATAAAGAAATTAAGCTACCTAGAAGGAGATAGTAGTATTTAATATATATAGAATAGGTTATTAATTATTAAAATATATTATATTAGTTAGTATTTTATAGTTAAATTTATACTTATTTTTTAAGGTAAATTAGAATCTTCTAAAGGACTTAGTATATAGCTAGTATTATTTATAAGTAGTTATTAAGTAGTTTAGTACTTTTTTATTAAATTCCTTTTCTATATATTCTAGTATCTAGCTAAGGTAGGCTATTAAAGGGTACTTAAAGTAGTAATATAAGTATTAGAGCTTTCCTTTTATTAAATAGAAAGTAATAGCTTTAATAATATATAGTATTTACTAGGGATATTCCTAGTATTTTATAATAAGGACTTTTAACTATTCTTAGTAAAGTATATTATTAATATTATCTAGCTAAATCCTTAAAGTATCTATATTCTTAATAGAAAGTAGGAATAGTATAATAGTTAGTAGTATTTAGAATATAATTACTCTAAGTACTATAGGTATTATAATCTTATTAATAAAGGTTATAAAGCTAATATTAAAGTATATTATTATAGTTAAGGCTAATTTTATAACCTAAAGGCTTAGAATTAGTTTTATTAGTATTTTTATTTATATTATATTAATATTAAAAGTATTAATAGTATTTATATTAAAAAGGATTTTTTTAAAAATATTTTTTATATATTATTTTTTATAGCTAAATATACTAAAGATACTTTAGAATAGATCTTTAATATAGATAGTATATTTAATAAAGGTATTAGTAAAGAAATATATAATCTTTTTAAAGGATTAGCTTTTTATTATAATAAAAACTTTAATAGCTTTTAAAAAGAATACTTATATATTCTTTTATTTATTTACTAAAAAGTTATCTTTATTAAAAGATAAGGTAATAATATAGGTATTAACCTTATTCTAAATTAGTAGTATCTTTTTTAAGGTTCTTTTAAAGGCTACTAAAAAAGCCTAGTACTTTTTATTATTTAAAGGTTTTTAGTAGATTTTATAGGCATTCTAGGTATTATAAGTACTTTTCTATTCCTTCTTAGTATAGTTTATTAATTAATAGCCTTCTTTCTAATATATAAAATAGTACTTTAAGGTGTTATTTAAGCTACTAGGTTGTTTTTTTAGAAGGATTTAGGTATTATAGAATTATTTATTAATATAAAAGTTTTAATACTTTAAATAGGTTTATTTATATATATATATTAATTATTAGAATATTAAAATTAGGTTTTTATAATATTCTAGGGATTATATAAGGATTATAGTATAGGCTTTATTATTATATATAATACTTTTTAGTATATTTTAAGTCTTAATAAGTATAGTTATATTTTTAAGTATAAAAAATAGTCTTTAGTATAGAATCTAGATCTTATTAACTAGTAGCTTAAGGTAGTTAATAATAGACTTTATAAGGTATTTTTTTATTAATTTATTTAATAAAAAGTACTTTTATTTATCTATATAGAGGTTCTAAGTTAATAAAGGCTTAAATTAGTTATAAACTACCTTAATTATCTTATTATAGGTTATTTAATAGTTTATAATTACCTAAATATAGTATTTTAAAGCTTTTCTAATAAGTATTAATAAGAATATATATAGTAAAGCCTTTTCTAGAAGCTAGGTTTAATTATAATAGTTAATAAAGTTATATATCTAGATATAAAAGAAGTTATACCTTTTTTTATTATACTTATTAGCCTTTTAATATTCTTTAATAATACTATTAATTTACTTTAGTATATTTAGGTTTATTATAAGTAGCTTAAAGGGTTTATTTTTAGGCTATTTATACCTTTTATTATTAAAGTAATATAATAATAATAAAGATAATAATAATAATCCTAAAGGTAATAATAATACTCTTTATTAATATAAAGGTTATAATAGTCTTTATAGTAGCTATAGTAAAGGTATAGGTAGTCTTAATAAGGATAATAGTAGTATTTTATATTTAGAGGGTTATTAGGTAGCCTACCTCTTATAATACTAGTAAGTAAAGTTCCTTTAGTATAGTTATAGTATAAAAGGCTAAGTATACTTATTATAACTAAAGTCTTATAAGATATTAGGTAATATAAGGGTATTAAGTACTTAAAGGGTATTAATTACTATAAATAAGTTAAATATTTAAAAAGTATTAAATATTAAAAAAAGTCTAGTTATATAAAGGTCTTAATAAATCTTTATAGATTTAAATAGGGTATTTCTTATACTATATAGGTCTTTCTTTAGTATTTCTTAAGATAGTTCTAGTAATAATATATATTAAGGTACTAGTACCTAGGCTATTTAGAGTAGGTTATTATTATCTAGATAGAAAAGGCTATAAGTATCTTTTCCTTTATTATTAACTAGTTTTAAAGATTTATTAGTTAAAAGGAAACTAAATAATAGCTTCTTTATAAATCTTAATTTAATAATAAATAGTTTTACTAAAAGTTAATTATAATATATTAAAAAAGGTCTTTTTTATAAAGAAGGAAAAGGGTATTTACTTTTATAACTAATATACTTATTAGAAATAGTCTTTTAAATAGTTTTAATAATTTACTATTTTTTATTAGTATATAAAGTAATTTTAATATTATTAAGATAATCTTTAAACTTATAAAGAATTTCTTTATTAACCTTTTTCTAATTAGCTTTAATCTAGTAAATAAAATCCTTATAAAAGTATTTTTAAAGATAGCTATTAAACTATTTATAGTAAGTATTATATATAAAGGTATAGAAAATAATTATTATAGTAGTTTATTAATTAAGATTAATAGCTTCTTTAATACTCTAGGTAAGGGAGTATAGTTAGAATAATTTCTAGTTAGCTAGGAAAAAATAGGTAAGATAAGTAAGGCTTTTAAATACCTTATTAAAGATTATAGTTAATAGATAGCTTAAGATCTTAAGGGTAATTATATAGAATTATACTAAAGACTTAATTAGAGGTTTTTTATTAGTTAAGTTATTAAGTATATTAGATAGTATATTAGGTTTTCTAGTAGTTATATTAGATATTATAGTTAATAGAATAGGTAGTTCTAAAAGGTTATAAGGCTATAAAGGTATAAAAAAGATAAGTATTTTATTAAAAATTTATAATTAAGGTAAAGGTAATTACTAATTAGTATTAGGATTACTATTCTAAGTAGGTAATAATTATAAGATTATAGATATAGAGTGCTTATAAAGGTATTTTATAGGAATAGTTATATAATAATAATTCTTAATTAATTAATAAAATAAATTATAAAAAAAGAGGTTATAGTTTAAATATATAAATAGGTAGTACCTTAAGTATTATTAGGAAATTATAGGGATAAAGGAATAATTAGTAGTTATATATATTAGTAGTTAATAGCTTATAGGTAGTTATTTTAGTTATTTATAGGAGGTAATAGTGCCTTTATAGTAGTCTAGCTTTATTAGCTTAGTTACCTACTATAGTAGCCCCTATAACACCTTATATTAGGGCTATAGGTATTAAGACTTCTTTATATACTATTATATAGTATAACTACTATATATATATACTATATAGTATAACTAGCTATTATATATAACTATATATAGTATAAATCTATTTACTATATGCCTCTATATATAGTATATCTTACTAAATATCCACTATACTTAGCTAACTGTATTTACTATAGTGCTTACTAGCATAACAACCTATACTAATATAAGCCTATTATACCCTACTTACCTAAGTTAGTATATATTAATATATATATAGTACTTATACTAGGCTATTACCTAAGGCCTATACTTATTAGCCTATATATATATTACTAAAGAGTGTTTTTATAGTAACCTTAGTTTATTTACTTTTTACTATAGCCTCTATACTTAGAAAATTCTTTTAGGTAGCTTATATATTATAATTACTCCTACTCTAGTCCTAGCTACTTAGGTAGCTAGTACTTACTAGCCCTATTCTTAACCTATTTATAACTAATTATATTATATTCTAATATCTTAATACTATTAGTTATTATTTAATAATAGTAAATTATTAACTTATTATTACTAGGTAAGGTATATTATATAAATATTATATTATTAGTTTATTTAAAATAAAGTATATTTCCTTACCTAGTTAGCTCTCCTTTTTATAAATAAATCCCTTACTCTTTTTACTAATTAGCTTTATTTTTCTATACTTTATAACCTTTTTATTACTTTATACCCTTAAAATACTCTCTCTTAAACCCTAAATAACTTTATAATAACCTATAATTATAATAATAATAACCTATAATATTAACTACTACTATTATACTACCCCTATTACTACTACCTAGTAATAATACTAGCCTAGAGGGGTATAAAAAGGGCTATTAAATAATTTATAGCTATACCCTATAAGGGAATTTAATAATAAAAAGTACTAATCTAATAGTAAGCTAGACTTTTCCTATATTATATATTTTCTATATTTATACTAAATAATAATACTAAAATATATTATAAATACTAATAGTAAGTATACTACTTATACTATAAGCTACTAGTCCTATATTTAAAAGCCTATTCTATTTATAAATAGCCCTAACCTATATAAATATATATATACTTTATTAATACTTATTAATACTAATAAGACTATTATAATACTAATAACTAATATTATATATACTAAAAGATATAAATATTTAATTCTAATAGCTATATAAGTATATATATAGAACTACTTTACTAGTACTTTAGCTAATATATATATAAACCTAATTAGTATACTACCCCTACCTAGTACCTTAAGTACTATACTAGTTATTACTCAAGTTATTAATACTAATAGGGTATATATAGAGTAAAAGGTAAAGTTATTATATTATATAACTTCTATCTAGTTATATAATATAGGTAAGTACTAGATATACTAGGTAATAAGAGATTATTCTTCTAGCTTCTAAGCTATTTATTATTACTCCTACTTAATCTATATTAACTAAGAAAAATAACTAGAAAAATAAATAATAAAATAAAATAATAACTATAAAGAATAAAATAATAACTATAAGGAAAAGTAATAACTACTATAGCTACTATAATATACTATAATAGTAGCCTAATTCTTTTATTTACTAATAAATATAATAATACTTATTAATATATATAAGTTACTTTTTTCTTCTAGGTATAAAGTAGTTTATAGTTATACTAGGTATAAGGTAGTTTATAGTTATATAGAAGGCTTTATTACTATATTAAGGGTTTTATAACTATTATATTTTCTATTTTTTATTTATAAGATAATTTAACTTAAAAACCTATATAAATAAATTTTATAGAAAATAAAAGTTATACTATAAACTATATTTAATAAAGATACCTTATCTTAAAGGCTATAAGATATATAAAAAACTACTAGCTAAGGTATACTAAGTATTATATTAGTACTAAATATACTATACTAGTATTATACTAATACTAAGTATATTATACTAATACTATACTAATACTATACTAATACTAGGTATACTATACTAATACTATACTAGTACTAAGTATACTAATTAACTATAATAGTCTTAAAAATAATAAAATAGTAATAAACTTATAAAAGCTTAAGCTTTTATAAGATTATAACTATAAGAAAGCCTTAATAGCTATAAGACTTATAAAGCCTTATAACTTATAATTATAAAAGGCTTATTATAATACTTTTAAAAGGTAATACCTTAAAGGCTTAGTACTAGTTAGCTTATAATAGTCCTAAAAATAATAAAATAGTAGTAAGCTATAGAAGGAGCCTTAGTAGCTATAAGACCTATAAAGCCTTATAATTTATAACTATAGAAAGCTTATTATAATACCTTTAAAAGGTAATATCTTAAAGGCTTAATACTAGTTAGTTTATAATAATCTTAAAAATAATAAGATAATAGTAAATAAAGAGCTTACTAGCCTTTAAAGGGTAATACCCTAAAGGCTAATACTAATAAAGGTATTAATAAAAAGCTAGCTAGCCTTTAAAGGGTAATACCTTAAAAGCTAATACTAATAAAGGTATTAATAAAAAGCTAGCTAATCTTTAAAAGGTAATACCTTAAAGGCTAATACTAATAGTATTAATAAAGAATCTATTATAATACTTATAGAAGGTAATACCTTAAAGGTATAAAGCTAATTAACTATAATACTTATAGAATAGCTTTAATAGGTAATACCTTAAAGACTAAAGGCCTTAAGAGTATAATACTTTTAAAATAGACCTTTAAAAAATTATAGCTTAAAAGGTACTTAGTATAGTTCTAAATAGTATCTATACTTATAAAAAGCTAGCTTTAATAGTAATTTAGTTATAATATTAATAATATTCTTAATATTTAGAATTTAACTAAAACTTAATTAATATAGTATATTCTTATTATATAACTAATAGTATTAAATATCTATATACTTTATATAGAGGTATTTTTAAATACTAGAAGCTTAGGTAATAATACTAGAGTTATTAGCCTAGATAGTAGTCTTAGTATAGGTAGGCTTTTCCTTAAAGGTTTTTATAATAATATAGTAAAGCTATTAAATCTAGATAGCTTTCTAGGCTATATTATATTAAAAGATATACTTTACTTTAGTAGTTAAGTATATAATAATATTCTATAGCTTTAAGTATTAAAATATAATACTACTTTTTAAGGTAATAATAAAGCTATTAATAGATTTATATATTTATTAGTAATTAATATAGTTAATATTATAATAAACTTAAGGTTCTTTATTAGGTTTTATAAAAATAAGTTTATAGTTAATAATATTTTTAATATATTATAAAAGCTATTTTAGGCTAATAATATATTCTACTAATAAGGTAGCTATAAATCTATAATAATAGCTAATAGTAAAGTAGATATTAAGCCTAGAGTAGTTAGAAAGATAAATTAGGCCTCTATAGGTCTTAGTATACTAGCTATTCTTAATAGTTAGTTATTATTTAATACTTTTAGTAATAAGACTTATTAGTAGGTTATAAGGTTTATAGTTAAGAAGGCTAGCTTCTTTTAAAAGGGCTTTAGTATATCTATAGTTATTAAGGCTTTCTTATAGCTTATTATTATTTTATTATTTTTAAGACTATTATAAGCTAATTAATACTAAGCCTTTAAGGTATTACCTTTTAAAAGTATTTTAATAAGCCTTTTATAGCTATAAGTTATAAGGCTTTATAAGTCTTATAACTATTAAGGCTTCCCTATAGCTATAATCTTATAAAAGCCTAAGCCTTTATAAGTCTACTATTATTCTATTACTTTTAGAACTATTATAGTTAATTAATATACTTAGTACTAGTATAATACTAGTATAGTATACCTAGTATTAGTATAGTACTAGTATAATACTAATATAGTATACTTAGTATTAGTATAGTACTAGTATAGTATATTTAGTACTAGTATAGTACCTAGTATATTTTAGCTAGTAGTTCTTTATATATCCTATAGCCTTTAGAATAAGGTATCCCTATTAAATATAGTTTATAATATAACTTTTATTTTCTATAAAATTTATTTATATAGGTTTTTAAGTTAAATTACCTTATAAATAAAAAGTAGAAAATATAGTAGTTATAAAGCCCTTAATATAGTAGTAAGGCCTTTTATATAATTATAAGCTACTTTATACTTAATATAATTATAAACTACCTTATACTTAAAAGAAAAAAGTAACTTATATATATTAATAAATACTATTATACTTATTAGTAAATAAGAGAATTAGGTTACTATTATAGTATATTATAGTAACTATAGTAGCTACTACTTTTCCTTATAGTTACTATTTTATTCTTTATAGTTACTATTTTATTTTATTATTTATTTTTCTAGTTATTTTTCTTAGTTAATATAGATTAAGTAAAAGTAATAATAGGTAGCTTAGAAGCTAGAAGAATAATCTCCTATTACCTAGTATATCTAGTACTTACCTATACTATATAACTAGATAGAAGTTATATAATATAATACCTTTACTTTTTACTTTATATATACCCTATTAATCTTAATAAATTTAGTATTATATATTAATAATAATATATTCTATATTATATAGTTATTATAAATAAAAATAGTAAGTTACTTAATTATATTTTCTATTACTAATATTTAATATAGTCTTTAATTTATTTAGCTAAAGGTATACTTCGTAATAAAGTTTTCTTACTTTTAGTAATATTTTTTAACTAATAATGTTTTTAAGTATAAATCTTACTAATAATTCCTTACTAATAATAGTAATATTTCTAATCTTAAGTAAAAGAGTCTTAACCTTAAGATAGCTTTAACCTCTTTATTATATTTAATAAGAAGTTAATTTTTTTATTATAGGCTTTTACTTATATATATTCTTTAATAAAAGGTTTTTTACTATTCTAAATAACTAAAATATAGTTTTTTTATAAATATTAGTAGTATTTTAAGTACTTATTATTAATAGTAAGTAAGTTTTTTTTTATAGGTTACCCTTCCTACTATAGAGAAATATCGCTACTTACTATTAATAAATAGAATAATAGCTAGGTACTTTTAAAGGTAGCTATTATACTATTTATAGTAGGTATTATATACTAAGATATAGAAAATAATTACTATAGTAGTTTATTAATTAAAGTTAATAGCTTTTTTAATACTTTAAATAAAAGAGTATAGCTAGAATAATTTCTAATTAGCTAGAATAAAATATATAAGGTAAGTAAAGCTTTTAGGTATTTTATTAGGAATTATAACTAATAAGTAGCTTAAAAGTTTAAAGGTAATTATATAAAACTATATTAAAGACTTAATTAAAGGTTTCTTATTAGTTATACTATTAAGTATACTAGATAGTATACTAGGCTTTCTAGTAGTTATACTAGATATTATAGTTAATAAAATAAATAGTTTTAAAAGGTTATAAGGCTATAAAGGTATAAAAAGAATTAAGGTTTTATTAAAAATCTATAATTATAGTAAAAGTAATTACTAATTTATTATACTAGTAGGTATTATAGTAAATATAGTTGGCTAAGTATAGTAGATATTTAGTAAGATATACTATATATAGAGGTATATAGTAAATAGATTTATACTATATATAGTTATATATAGTAGCTAGTTATATTATATAGTATATATATATAGTAGTTATACTATATAATAGTATATAAAGAAGTCTTAGTACCTATAGTTCTAATATAGGGTATTATAGGGACTATTATAGTAGGTAACTAAGCTAATAAAAACTAGACTACTATAAAGGCGCTATTACCTCCTATAGGTAAGTAAAGTAACTACCTATAAACTATTAACTACTAATATATATAACTACTAATTATTCCTTTATTCTTATAATTTCCTAATAGTACTTAAAGTACTACCTATTTATATATTTAACTATAGCCTCTTCTTTCTATAGTTTATTTTATTAGTTAATTAAGAATTATTATTATATAACTATTTCTATAGAGTACCTTTATAGGTACTCTATACCTATAATCTTATAACTATTACCTATTTAAAATAATAATCTTAATACTAATTAGTAATTACCTTTACCTTAATTATAAATTTCTAATAAAACTATTATCCCCTTTATACCTTTATAGCCTTATAACCTTTTAGAACTATCTATTCTATTAATTATAATATTTAATATAATTACTAAAAAGCCTAGTATACTATCTAATATACTTAGTAACTTAACTAATAAAAAACCTCTAATTAAGTCTTTAATATAATTTTATATAACTACTTTTAAGATTTTAAGCTACCTATTAGCTATAATCCCTAATAAGGTACTTAAAAGCTTTACCTATCTTACCTATTTTCTTCTAATTAACTAGAAATTATTTTAACTATACTTTCTTATTTAAAGTATTAAAGAAGCTATTAACCTTAATTAATAAACTACTATAGTAATTATTTTCTATATCTTTATATATAATACTTACTATAAATAATTTAATAGCTACCTTTAAGAATACCTTTATAAGTATTTTACTTATTAGACTAAAGCTAACTAGAAAATAATTAATAAAGAAGTCTTTTATAAATTTAAAAACTATTTTAATAGTATTAAAGTTACTTTATATACTAATAAAGAATAGTAGATTATTAAAACTATTTAAAAGATTATCTTTAATAAGTATATTAACTATAAAAGTAATTACCTTTTTCCTTTTTTATAAAAAGAACCCTTCTTAATATAGCCTAACTAGCTCCTAGTAAAACTATTTACTATTAAATTAAGATCTATAAAGAAACTACTATTTAATTCCTTTTTAATTAATAAACCTTTAAAGCTAGCTAATTATAAAGGGAAAGATATTTATAGCCTTTTCTATCTAGATAATAATAACTTACTCTAGATAGCTTAGGTATTAATACCTTAGTATATACTACTACTAGAACTACCTTAAGAAATACTAAAAAAAGACCTATATAGTATAGAAAATACCTTATCTAAACCTATAAGGATTTACTAAGACCTTTATATAACTAGACTTCTTCTAATACCTAATACCTTTTAAGTACCTAACTTATTTATAGTAATTAATACTCCTTAAATACCTAATACCCCTATACTACCTAATATCTTATAAAACTCTAGCTATAATAAGTATACTTAACCTTTTATATTATAACTATACTAAGGGAACTCTACTTACTAGTACTATAAAAGGTAAGCTACTTAATAACCCCTTAAATATAAGGTATTACTACTACCTTTATTAAGACTATTTATACCCTTACTATAGCTACTATAAAGACTACTATAACTACTATATTAATAAAGAATATTATTATTACTCTTAAGACTATTATTATTACTTTTATTATTATTATATTATTTTAATAATAAAAAGTATAAATAGCTTAAAAATAAACCCTTTAAGCTACTTATAATAAACTTAAATATACTAAAATAGATTAATAGTATTATTAAAAAGTATTAAAAAGCTAATAAGTATAATAAAAAAAGGTATAACTTCTTTTATACCTAGATATATAACTTTATTAACTATTATAATTAAGCCTAACTTTTAAAAAAGGCTTTATTATATATATTCTTACTAATACTTACTAAGAGAGCTTTAAAGTACTATATTTAAGTAATTATAAACTATTAAATAATTTATAATAAGATAATTAAGGTAGTTTATAATTAATTTAAACCTTTATTAACTTAAGACTTTTATATAAATAAATAAAGGTATTTTTTATTAAATAAGCTAATAAAGAAGTACTTTATAAAGTTTATTATTAACTACCTTAAGTTACTAGTTAATAAGATTTAAGTTCTATATTAAAGACTATTTTTTATACTTAAAAGTATAACTATACTTACTAAGACTTAAAATATACTAAAGAATACTATATATAGTAATAAAGCCTATACTATAACCCTTATATAACCCCTAGAATATTATAAAGACTTAATTTTAGTATTCTAATAATTAATCTATATATATAAATAAACCTATTTAAAATACTAGAACTTCTATATTAATAAGTAGTTCTATAATACTTAAATCCTTCTAAAGAAATAACTTAGTAGTTTAAATAATACCTTAAAATACTATTTTATATACTAAAAAGAAGGTTACTAGTTAATAAACTATATTAAGAAAGAATAGAAAGGTACTTATAATATCTAAAATACTTATAAGATCTACTAAAAGCTTTTAAATAATAAAAAGTATTAAGCTTTTTTAATAGCCTTTAAAAGAACCTTAAAAGAGATATTACTAGTTTAGAATAAGGTTAATACCTATATTACTACCTTATTTTTTAATAAAAATAACTTTTTAATAAATAAATAAAAAGATATATAAATATTCTTTTTAAAAGCTATTAAAGCTTTTATTATAGTAAAGAACTAATTCCCTAAAAAGATTATATATTTCCTTACTAATACCTTTATTAAATATACTATTTATACTAAAGATCTATTCTAAAGTATCTTTAGTATCTTTAACTATAAAGAATAATATATAAAGGATATTTTTAAAAAGATTCTTTTTAATATAAGTATTACTAGTACTTTTAATACTAATATAGTATAAATAAAAGTACTAATAAAATTAATTCTAAGCTTTTAAGTTATAAAATTAGCCTTTATTATAATAGTATACTTTAATACTAACTTTATAACCTTTATTAGTAAGATTATAGTACCTATAGTACTTAAGGTAATTATATTCTAGGTATTACTAACTACTATACTATTCTTACTTTTTATTAAAGATATAGATACTCTAAAGGTTTAGCTAGATAATATTAATAATATACTCTATTAAAAATAGCTAAAGGTCCCTATTATAAAATACTAAGGATACCTTTAGTAAATACTATATACTACTAAAGCTATTACTTTCTACCTAATAAAAGGAGAACTTTAGTATTTATATTATTACTTTAAGTACTTTTTAGTAGCCTACCTTAGCTAGATACTAGAATATATAGAAGAGGAATTTAATAAAGAAATACTAAACTACCTAATAGCTACCTATAAGTAGTATTAATTATATACTAAGTCTTTTAGAAGGTTCTAATTTACCTTAAATAATAAGTATAAATTTAATTATAAAATACTAGCTAATATAATATACCTTAATAATTAATAACCTATTCTATATATACTAGATATTACTACCTCCTTCTAGGTAGTTTAATTTCTTTATAGAAATATAAAAAGCCTTTTAGAAAATACTAAAAGCCTTTAAGATATACTTTAATACTATTAGATTAATATATACTTTAAACCCCCTAAATAGATTATTTATAATACTAAAAGTAACTTTTTATTTACTAAATTCTATAAATATACTAAAAAGCTAGATATTTAAGTATATTTAATACTTATAAAAGCCTATAATATAATTAATAAGCTAGAATACTATTATACCCCTTTTTAATATACTTATAATATTATTTAGAAAAAGCTATAAGGTATTTTAAATATTAATAAGTATTTATAACTTACTATTAAGGCTATAAATAACTCTACTAATCTTAATAGCCTAATACCTACCTTATTAGTTTTTAGTACCTACCCCTACCTCTTAAAAGGCTCCTTACTATACCTCTTAATAACCTAATATATTAAAACCCTTTAGAAAGTAACTAATACTACCTAGAAAGCCCTCTTCTTATAGTAAGTATATAAGATACTAATTATATATAATAGCCTTAATATAAGCCTTTTATATTATTTATTATTATAATTAGATATTTATATTTAATATAAAAATACTAATTAGATTAGCCTTTATAAGCTAATAAGTATAGATATTAGAAAATATATTATAAAAATACTATTTAGCTTTATTAGCTTCTATATATTTATTATATACTTATTCCTTACTAAAGAGGACCTAGATATAGACTTAGAAGTACTATAAGCCTTTAAAAGTAATATTAATAATAAGTATAACTTTAATAATAACCTAGACTATAATTATTAGGCTTTTAAGATTATTAAAGCCTTTTTAAAGCCTATTAAGACTATTTTAAAACTTATTAAAACTATTTTAAAGCCTTTTAAAACTATCTTAAAGCCTATTAAATAAATCTAAGTTATTATTTTTAATAAACCTAGATATTTATAAGTAATTCTTAGTATTAAAATAAAATACTAACTTATAAAATACTAAATTCTATTAAAAGTAATTAAAGATAAAGTATTCTTTTTTATTAAAAAGAAAAATAATATAAAATATTACTTAAAGCTTTAAAAAAATAATATACTTTTTAATAATAAGCCTTTATTCTTTACTTTTACTAAAAAGGAGTTATAAAGCTTTTTAAAATATAAAGTCTTTTAATTTATTAAATTTAACCTTACTATTTATTATAAATACCTATTTAAATTTTAAATAGTTAATAAAATTAAGTCTAATACTATTAAAAAGCCTATAAAGAAAATATATATAATTCTATATAGTTATTAAGATTATAATAAAAATATACTATTTACTTAATTACTAACTATCTAGAAAATAAGCTAATACTTAATTTTAAGCTTTATACTAACCTAAATCTAATAAGGTTAGCTATTATAGCTTTAGAATATTACCTAGGCCTATATATAGGCTAGAACCTATCTTTAGTAGTATATTCTTACCTAGATTCCTTTAAAACTTTACTATCTTTACCTTAAGGGTATTATTATTAAGGTTATTTTACTACTATATAGTATTTTTAAGTTAAATACTTATTAGTAGGTAATATACTTTACTTACTACCTTAAAAAGCTTAAGATATTACTATTTACTTATAACTAGTATTTTTTACTAGCTTTAGGCCTTAATCTAGGTATTATTAATATATAGATTAATAATATAATTAACCTTAGTATTATTATTTTTAATAAATAAAAAGCTAATACCTTTATTATTATTAGATTTTAGGTTAAGCTAAAGAAGATACTTATAATAAAAAACCTATTAATATTTAATAAATATTATATTTTTTTAAATACTAATAATACTATCTTAATAATCTTAAAAGGATAATTAAAAAAACTTTAACTACTAACTAACCTAAAAGAGTATATTAAATAGTAAGCTTAAGATACCTACCTAGCCTTAATTTATTAACTAGAAGCTATATTTAACTTATTTATTACTATATAATTTAAAGAGCCTAAAAAAGATAATTTTAAATACCTAAATATCTATATTTAATAGTAAATTAAGAATACTATTTAAGGCCTTTAGTACTTACTAATCTAGTTAAGAATAGCTAAGCTATTTATTTTTATTAATAGTTCCTTTATTAATAATAAAGATTTAAGTTCTTAGCTAAAATATATAATTATTCTAGGTAATAAAGAATTAATTAACTATATTAAAATTACTATTTAAGGTAATATTATTACCTAAAGTTTAATAAAAAGTAAGTATATTACTTAAAATATATTAGTATTAAAGTTATATAATATAATTCTAAATATTAATATAAACTATATTCTTTTTATTACCTTAAATAAGATTATAGAGTTAATAGGCTTAATAGTAATTCTAATAGTAGTTTATATAGATTTATTTTTATTATATAAATACTTAATAAAGCTTAAAACTATTAAAAAGAAGTACTTAATAATTAATATTATAATACTATACTAATTCTATAAGTACTATAAGCTTACTAAGGTCTATTAGATTAATAGTAATAATAACCTTATAAATATACTAATAAAGGCTACCTTAAATAAGGTATTATAAAAGCTAGTTAATAATAACTAGTTAATACTATATATTTAAGGCTAGGTTAGCTATACTATAAAAGCTATAAAGAGGCCTAAAGGCTATATAACTTAGTTAAAAGAAAAGATTACTAGTATTATACTAGTAAGTACTATAGTAAATATAGTTAATTAAGTATAATAGATATTTAGTAAGATATACTATATATAAAGGTATATAATAAATAGATTTATACTATATATAGTTATATATAGTAGCTAGTTATACTATATAGTATATATATATAGTAGTTATATTATATAATAGTATATAAAAAAGTCTTAATACCTATAGCCTTAATATAAGGTATTATAAAGGCTATTATAGTAAGTAACTAAGCTAATAAAAGCTAAACTACTATAAAGGTATTATTACTTCCTATAAGTAAGTAAAGTAACTACCTATAAGCTATTAACTATTAATATATATAACTACTAATTATTCTTTTATTCCTATAATTTCCTAGTAGTACTTAAGATACTACCTATTTATATATTTAACTATAGCCTCTCCCTTCTATAGTTTATTTTATTAGTTAATTAAGAATTATTATTATATAACTATTCCTATAGAGTACCTTTATAGGTACTCTATACCTATAATCTTATAACTATTACCTACTTAGGATAGTAATCCTAATAAATTAGTATTAAAATTATTATTCTAAGTAAGTAAAAGTTATAAGATTATAAGTATAAAGTACTTATAAAAGTATTTTATAGGAATAGTTATATAATAATAATTCTTAATTAACTAATAAAATAAACTATAGAAAGAAGAGATTATAATTAAATATATAAATAGGTAGTATCTTAGGTATTATTAGGAAATTATAGAAATAAATAGTAATTATATATATTAATAATTAATAGCCTATAAGTAATTACCTTACTTACTTATAAAAGGCTATAATCCTTTTATAATAGTCTAGCTTTATTAGTACTTAGTTACTTATTATAATAACCTTTATAATACTCTATATTAAGACTATAGGTATTAAGACTTCTTTATATACTATTATATAATATAATTACTATATATATATACTATATAATATAACTAGCTACTATATATAACTATATATAATATAACTCTATTTACTATATACTTTTATATATAGTATATCTTACTAAGTATTTACTATACTTAGCTAACTATATTTACTATAATACTTACTAGTATAATAGTAGTAATTAAGCTTAATTAGCCTAAAGGCTTATAAGGCTAAATATAGCTCCCCTTAATATAGATAAAAATAAAAAGGAAGAAGAAAGAATTTAAAAAAAGTTAGGCTTAACTAGTCTAAAGATATATAAGATTAAATATAGCCCCTTTAATATAAATAAAAACTAAAAAGAAAAGAAGATAATTATATAGCTTAGCTAGCTAAAGAGGAATAGGCTAAATATAGGCTAAGATATAAATAAAAACCTAGTATATAGTATTAAAAGGGGTTTTACTAAACCCCTATATACTTTACAATAAGACTATAAAGAATCTTATAAAATATAAATAAGGTTTTCTCTTAGGTACTTTAGTTTTTCCTTACTCTATAATTAATAAAGGTATTAAATAGGTTATTTAGTCTAATTAGTATATAAGAATTATTATTATTATTATATATTTATATTTATAATCTTACTTATATTTATTTATAGCTTATTAGTATTTTTCTTTCTTAAAAATAAATATATTATTATAATACTATAGTTTTATACTTATAATAAAACTAAAAAATATAACTATATTATACTATAAATAACTAGTTATATAATATATAATACCTAATAAAGACTTTAATAACTCCTTTTATTATAAAGCGTTATATAGTACCTCTTTCCCTAGCTATTCTATATTATAGGCTACTAGAATAAGCCTTACAAATAAGCTACTATATATAATAGGGTTATCTTACCTAGTAGTAAGTTAAACGCCTTAAGAGTTGTAGGACACCCCTATATCAATCCACTATCCTATAGTCGGTTAAGTGGCATACCCCGTGTAACCCCGCCGTTCCGTATCTGCGCTATAATATTTTTGCTTCTGCACGAAATATGTCAATAAATCGCCAACCACGGTGGATAAAGGTGGATTAACTTACGTTACTGTTATTTTCCGGTCTAGGGCATCGAGTCTCTCTCCCATGTCGGTAAACCCCCGCTGCGCGGTTTCTTGTAGGATAGTGATTTGCTGCGTCATCGTATCCAGCTGTTCCGTCATCGCATCCAGCCGTTCCAGCCGTTCCGTCATCGCATCCAGCCGTTCCGTCATCGCATCCAGCCGTTCCAGGATACGACTACCCCCGTCCACGGCGGGCAAGTTCACACATCGCTCGAATTGTTCGGCCGCACCTCTTAGGTGGGAAGCCATAAGGCTACAGTCGGGTTGCTGAAGGGCACGATCCATCCTGTCTGCTAGTAGCCATCCGGCGTGATGTAGGCGCTGGCTAGGGGAGGAAGAAATTGTATGCTTTGTTGATATTTTCTTGCGAAGAAGAAAGGATGGGGGTGGGAAGCGGAGCTAGATGAGAGAAATCACCGTCTCCCCCTTTATACGCGTGGTCACCTGACCGTGTTATGGGAGGCGCAGACCTGTTCTAAGTGTGGCGCAGGCTACATTGCGTTGCCAGCTCACGCTACAGCTCGCTGCATCGAGAAAAGAGGAAAGGTGGCGCATGCAACGCAGCTCTCGTAGAGGTGAATCAATTCTGAAGGAATCTGACATGGGAACAAGACCGCCTCCAAGCTCAGGTCAGTTGAGTTCACGGATAATGATCGTCGCGGACGCGCCATCTCTCTCAGCGACCTCCAGGCTACGCTCCGTGACAAGAACGGCGGCAAACATATTGCGGAAGCCGTCCACGACTTACTCGAGTCCTATTACAAAAGTCACAGTGTAAAAGACTTGCCAAGAAAATCGAAGATTTAAGTAAAGCGACTACTACTGATGTATCCTGGTAAACAACATGAACCGAGTGCCTGGCGCATTAATCTGGATACTAAAATAGCAACTACAAGCAGCAGCAATTTAGTCATGTTCTTTTGTTTTTTATTTACACCTTAATTTGAAGAAGTGGACAAGATGTTGACGAATGAACAAAGAAAAAGGACAGTGGTGATTTTGGGTTAGGCTGGTCGCTACCCCCAACGACAAGTAACCAGCCATAGTAACTTATTCAAGAAAACAAAGACGAGCAAACGCTGGATCGGTGTATTCAACGATGCCGCTACGAATAGGCCCTGCCTATCAGCGGCAAGTGGGTAACGGTATCCGTAATCCCAACAAAACTGCTGCCCGCCCAAGTCAGCGTTGCAGCCCGCATGTTAACTGTTCACGTACCTGATTTTAAGCCTCGGCTGGTTCCACCGGACCCTTTTTGCAGGGCCCGCTCCAGTTTGTCTCTGAATGCCGCCTGGCTCGAGACGGACCTGACCAGCATCTCGGACATTTTTCATCTTCCAACTACTCGTCGCTCCTTTACTTTTTTCCCTCACCAACGAATCAACCGTTCCCTTTTCCACCTAGATCCTACGACTGTTCATTCGACACGACTTTTGCGCCACCATGGACTCTCAAGGCGGCAGCGCCAAGGCGGGCCATCTCTGCGTGCTCGTCCACGGCGTACGTCATCGACCAACCCCCGTTGCCCGGCGCGCGCGGCGCGGCAGCGCCCCACGTTTCTCACGGCTAACCACAAGGTGCGCAGCTCTGGGGCAACCCGCAACACATGCGCAACATTGCCAAGTGCCTGCGCGACCAGTACTCGCGCGACGAGCTGTACCTGCTGCTCGCCAAGCGCAACACGGGCAGCTTCACCTACGACGGCATCGAGCGCGGCGGCGAGCGCGTCTGCGCCGAGATTGAGGAGGAGCTGCGCATCATCGAGGCCGCTGGCGGCACCGTCACCCGCCTGAGCATCATCGGCTACTCCCTGGGCGGCCTGGTGTCGCGCTACACCGTCGGCCTGCTGCACGCCAAGGGTCTCCTGGACAAGATGGAGTGCATGGTGCGTCTCCCGCTGACACGGCCAGTCCATAAAAAACTTGCAACGACGGCGCCTCGCTGACATTTACGGTAGAACTTTTGCACCTTTGCGAGCCCGCACCTCGGCGTCCGCACGCCCCTCCGCGGCTGGCACAACCACGTCTGGAACGTCGTCGGCGCCCGCACCCTCTCCATGTCGGGCCAGCAGCTCTTCACCACCGATAGCTTCCGCGACACCGGCCGCCCCCTGCTGCAGGTCATGGCCGACCCGGCATCCATCTTCATGTCGGGCCTGCGCAGGTTCAAGCGCCACACGCTCTACGCCAACATCACCAACGACAAGAGCGCCGTCTACTACACCACGTGCATCCAAAAGACGGATCCCTACCGCGACCTCGACCTCGTGCGCCCCAACTTCTTGCCCGGCCGCGCCGAGGTGCTCCTCGACCCGCACGCCCCGTTCCTGCCCCGGCCCAAGCTCGCAGCGGCCTCGGCCACGTCCGTCTGGGCGGCGCGCTGCCTGCAGTCCCTCCGGAAGCTGCCGCTGGCGCTGGCCGTCGCCGTCTTCGTGCCGTTTGGCGTCGCCGCGTACCTCGTCAACTCGCTCATCCAAAACGTGCGCAGCTCCCAGCGCATCCGCCTGCACGAGCGCGGCCAGCTCGGCGTCAGCACCGACGAGTACCGCGTCCCGCTGCTCATCAAGGAGCTGCGCGGCGAGGTCGAGTCGGCGTACGAGGCCCTCAACAGCTCCCAGCAGCAAGAGTATCTCAAACCCGACGACGACGCCGACGAGGACGCCGCCTTGGATGCAGAGGACAGACGGCTGCTGACGAGGGAGCGCAGGCTGTCTCAGCCGACACAGCCGACGCTCGCGCTCGCGCCCTGCCAGTTTGACATGATTCGCAACCTGGACTCGCTCGGCTGGCGCAAATACCCGGTCTGGATCCATAACACGGGCCACGCCCACGGCGCCATCATTGCCCGCATTGATAAGAGACGGTATGACGAGGGCTTCGTCGTCCTCGGACACTATGCCCAAGACGAGTTCTTGCTCTAGAGGCCGCCTGCGTGTGGCATTTGCTTTGGCTAGCATGGCTTTTGAGATTTGTTTGGGATGGCATGCGTACAGGAATGAATAGACGTCATTTTAATACATTGTATAATTTTGTTATCAAGATGGTGCTGACTAGGCGGGCTTCAACTGGCTGACGATGGTGGTGATGTGTGATATGAGAGCAAGTCTACGTAAGCGGGGTTTCGGCAGCCACGGAACGCAACAACCTCTGGACACGAGCCGAGTCTAACCTCTATAGCACCATCCCCGACGGCGATCGTCTGACAAAGCCTGCTGATAAATACAACGCACATGGCTTCCACGACTTCGTGGCGCATGAATGTGGGCAGAAATGAAGTCTACTAGCGACGGCTAAATAGAAACGGCTGCATCGCCGGTGTTCCAAGTCAAGATAACCGGCGCTTACTAAATCACTGTGAATACGACCTATTTATATCAGGCGTGTTGCGCTCGTAGATTCTCTCTTTACGTCCACAAGGAAAGCAACAGGTAATCATGGCGCTCAACCGCGACGAGAACGAAGCTGCATGGCTCACGGGGACCGGCGAGCCGCTCAAGGTCGGTGCCATACTGAACTGGACGCCAGGTCCCGGTGAGATCCGCGTGCGCAACGAGGTCATCAGCCTGAATCCAATCGAGGCCAAGCTCCAAAAGTCTGTACACCCCCTCCACCTCCCCTACAAAACCGTTGCGGAGGTGCAGCCAAGGCAGCGCTGACGTGTGCCACACAGGTTCAACATGTTTCAGCTCCCGTACCCGGCCGTGTTGGGCTTTACCTTCGCCGGCACGGTGACGGATGTAGGGCCCGACGTCACGTCCGTCGCCCGTGGCGACCGCGTTGCAGTCGCACGCTGGGGCGCGACGGCGCGCGAGGACCGGTTCGGCGCGTTCCAAAAGTACCCGCTGGCGCTGGAGCGCAACGTGCTGCGGCTGGGCGACGCGTCGTCGCTGGAGGACGGCGCGGGGGTCATCGCGAACCTGGCCACGGCCGTGTCGGCTCTGACGATCCACATGGGTCTCGACCACCGGCCAGCGACCCCGTCCGGCGGCGGCGGCCGCATCGACAAGAACGGCGAGCGGATCCTCATCTATGGCGGGTCCACGGCGATTGGCGGGCTGGCGGTCAAGTACGCGTCCGACGCGGGCTACGAGGTGGTGACGACGAGCTCGGCCGCCAACGAGGCGCTCGTGCGGCGGCGCAACCCGACGCACGTCGTGGACCATGGCCAGCCGCCCGAGGACGTCGTGCAGGCGCTCCGCAGCTACGGCCCGTACGACGCCATCCTCGAGGCCACGGGCAGCGAGGCCGGCACGGCGCTCATGGGCCGCCTGCTCGGCGCGAGCGGCGGCGGGCTCTTCTTCTCCACGAGCCCGTCGCCCAACGACGACGCGCTGCCGGCTGGCGTCGTCAAGCGCTGGTCGAGCTACTCTGAGGACCTGGTCTCGGACCCGGCGCGCGGGGCGCTCCGCGACTGGTTCGTGGGCGAGTATCTGCCGCGCGGCGTGCAGACGGGCGCCGTCTGGCCGAATCCCGCGTCGCGCGTGCCAGGGGGGTTGTCGGGCCTGCAGGACGCCCTGGATAGGCTGCGCGAGGGCAAGGTCAGTGGTGTCAAGCTAGTGGTGTATCCGCAGGAATGAAAAAAGGGTTTTTTGTTGCGAGAAGATATGGCTCTCGAGGTTACAAGTGCGCTGGACATGGTCATGACGTTTGGAAGCGGGGCAGGTTGTCTGAATCAATAGTCATGGTCAGTTAATACGTTCATCTCGGCTGTCTAAGCCATCGCTGGCTGGACAGCTTTGCTAATCAAACTCTGTAAGCGCTTTGCAACAAACAACCTTTTCTTTTCTTCTTTTTGTTGGGCAGTATTTCCAGCAAGAGCCCGGAGCGAGTTCTCCAGAGCTGAAGTGACGTGCCGGCTCCCTGCCCTGATCCGGGATAAAGTATGAAATCCTACCCTGATCCGGTATAGTGTATAGAATGCGACACTGGCGCCGTGTATTCAGGTTATAATAGTCAAGCACTATGACACCTCGACGTGTTTGTTAGCGCATGTTGCGCATGCAGCTGCACATTGGGAGCGCAAGTCTGGCCATGTCGGGGCCGCGTCGTCTCATTTCTGGCAACGAATCACGTGTGGCTGCCCAACCCCGGACTGTTTGCCCCGCACTGTGAACCAATCAGATACTCTGACAGCTCGCCCCGCTCGGCGAACCAATCAGCACCTCAGACATTTGGCAGCAAACAGCCCAGGAGAAAATTCGCCTCTGTAATTATTAGCATCACCTCCTCCTGCCGTCTCTTCTCTCCCCTTCTGCAGTGGTCTTGGGAGCACACCACCCTTCATTCTTCCCCTCCCGCCAATTTCCCTCCATCAACTTTCGCAGGTTGTCATCCTCTGCGTCTTTTTTTATTCCACTTGCTCCCCTGTTTCTATTTACTTGACCTCCTTGACAGCCTCGTTGCTGGTCTCGTGATTTTTCTACCCCCTTCCATGGGCTGTCCCGACTGAGCCGAACTTGCTCACGAGCAACGCAGCAACAGCGCAAATAGCACTCGACGAACACACCGATTCATCCATATTGCTCCGTCGCACCGGCGGCGGGAGCAATTGATACGCATCAGTCACCATGGTGCTCCAGCACTCGACCAACCACACCTACTCGCATCCCTTCCCGACCGTCACTCTCGCCTACTTTCTCCGCTACTCGTCACCCAACCTCAACCCGTTTGCCGCGCACGTCCTCAGCACCGACACCATCTCGAGCCATGTTGACCCCGTCACGCAGCGACTGCACACAACGCGCATCCACCTGAAGAAGAGCCGCATGCCTAGCGCCGTGTACAAGCTGCTGCCAACGAGCGTCACGGGCGGCGGTGCCGGCGACAAGGCGTCGTATATTCTCGAGACGAGCGTGGTCGACATCAAGGCGGGCTGGATGCGCACAGAGAGTCGCAACCTCAACTTTACAGGTGTGTTGTCGGTCGTGGAGAAGCAGGACTTTTGCATCCCCAGCGAGGCGGCCGGCCGCGCCCCGACGCTCGAGACGGACGTCAAGACGTCTGTGATTTTCAAGTCGCGGCTGGGCGACAAGATTCGCGGCAAGATTGGGCAGGCCACGTCGGAAGACGGCTGGTTCTCGGGCATCATCGGCGGCTGGGGAGCCAAGGGCATCCAACGCAGCATCGAGACGATGGCGTCGACCAAGACGCAAGCGCAGCTGGGCAAGAGCCGCGACGGCATGAAGATGGTGCTGGAACGCATCCGCAACAACGGCGTGCTGGGCGTTCTTGAGGCTATCCGCCGTGAGCGACAGCGTCAGCAGCTGGCCATGTAAACTGACTCTGCACATGTATACCATGATGACGCGGCACAGCAGTGAATCTGGCATTTGCCCGCATAGCCGTTGGAGACAATGGCTGCGTCTGACGGATTGTGTATCCATATTGTACATCAACACCCCTTTCTTACTTTAGCATGGCGTCTTTGTTTTTTTATGGCGTGGGGTTCGGGACGATTGAAGGATTGAAGCCAGGCTGCAGGCGGGCCATGAGACCCGGCCATGGGCAGCAGAAGACCGTGTATAGCTGCAGCATGCAGTGTGCAGCATCCCCTCTCTTGTTGTACTGAGTAAACAGAAAAGTATCTAGGAATGAATTCAACGAGTCCAAGTCTACCCTGGCGCCATGATTTGAGTGTGTACACTTGGTAAGTGCTGTGGCGAAAAGTGGCCAAATACGACCAGGACAGACGATTCATCATGGTGGCTGGCATCTGTTGATCTCGCCATCTTGGTGCCCCGTGCCTCGAGAATTACTTACTTTCTCCGTCCTGAACAAGTTGACGGAGTTTGCATCGACCCCACCAGCGGATAGCGGAAGAGAGGGGCACGCCGGCGGGACAAGAAAAAAATATCGCGCCCAATTGATGCAAAAAGGCTGCGAAAAATCTACGTCTGTCGATGAGCGAAACCCCGCGAATGGTCCGGCCGACAATCCTGGGGCCCGGGAAAACTTGTAGGTTACACCAAATCACTGTGCGATCGTTGCGGCTGAACCCCAGGATTTCTCATTACGCTTATTCCTTGCTTTTCTCCTCCCCTTTTTGTTTCTTTGGCCACCCGCTCTCGAGCAAAAAAAAAAGCCATGCCTGAAACGACGTCGGTCCTCTTTGTCTGCCTGGGCAACATATGCCGCTCGACCATGGCCGAGGGCATCTTTCGCCACCTGGCGCAGAAGCCAGAGTGGAAGGACAAGATTGGCCGGGTCGATTCCTGCGGTACAGGTGAGAGGCCATCTTTTTTTATTTCCTTCTTCCTCGTCGGATGTTTGCGCGGGAAGTGGCTGGTTTTTGTTTTCGGCTGACAGGTTACCCCTCCATAGCGGCGTACCACACGGGTGACGAGCCTGATAGTCGCACCATGGCGACGCTCGAGGCGAATGGCATTACCGACTATGAGCACTCTGCGCGGCGTGTATGTATCTACATTTTCCCCCATCCTGTACCCGGGCCACGCCTGCCTGGTGTTCTTCCCTGGCCGATGTCCAGGCTTCGAGACTTTTTTGATATCGCCGAGCGTCGACTGACTATATACTGGACGCCTTGCAGTTTGCCACGTCCGACTTTGACAAGTTTGACTACATCTTCGCCATGGACCGCTCCAACCTGTCGGACCTCGTGCGCCTGCAGCGCGGCAACCCAGACGCCAAGGCCCGCGTCCAGCTCTTTGGCGAGTACAGCGGCACCGCCGGCAAGGTCGAGGTTGTCAGCGACCCGTACTATGGCGGCGACGCCGGCTTCAAGCGCGCGTTTGAGCAGTGCGCGCGGTTCTCCAAGAATTTCTTGGAGACTGTGGTCGGCGGGGACAAGAATACTGCTGTTGGGGGAAAGGATGCATCGCTGTAGGGGGAAATGGCGAGATGGAGACATGATGATACCCAGATAAGCGGGGGCGCATGATGTGATGGTAATGGCATGTGCCGCCCGTGGAGAACAAGACACTCGTGGAAACGTATCGCGGAGAATACTTGACCATGGATATCCTCGTGTCAGAGGATGAGGCACCATTGCATCTGCGCAAAGCTTGGTGGCCGGATTCGAGGGAAAAGGGCCTTTAGTTAGAGTGTCATGATTGAAGGAAGGTGGCTACATGATTCACTCGCTCCTTTTGCCAGAGCAGTAGTCCAACATCGATATGGATTGTTACCATTGCGCCGACATGGTTCTAGCCAAGACGGCGTGGTCATATCCCCCGACATCGGCTTCGATGAAAACCACTCGGCTGTATCTGGCAACAAAGATTGTCTAAAATGGCAACCCCGTTTGAAGAGCCATGTCGTTCTCTATGGTGTGTCATGAAGCGGGTAGCATACAAGATGGGACATTTTCCCATGCGATTTTAGTCGCGCAAGATTGCAGAGAAGAAATTAGATGTATTAACGTCGTCGTTTGGGCTGCGTATCACTGGCACTCAGCCACGAGTTCTCGTCCAGTATGCAGGGGGGCATGATTTGGAGGCCTTGAGGGAAGAAGGAGAAGGGGAAAAAAAAGGTACACGACGCCATCTGCCATATTGGTGTTACGAAATGATCAAGTCAAGTCTTCGGCGCCTTGATTCCGGCGGGTGCAGCACTCACCATCCATCTGTACCTCCAAGCGCTCCAGGCCCACCTCGTGGCTGGCTTTAGCACCGGCCCGGCCCGAACCTGGCCACCAAGACTTGTTATCAAACCAAGAGGAGATCATGGCCATTCACCCAATAGTTTGATACGACTCTCCATATATACAAATTGCTCTGTGGAAGCCTAACGGATACCTGACCACTCGCTGGCCCGAGACGAAAGTAAGCCATGAGCCACAATTGTCTGAACTTTGCCAACGTTTCCAGAGCACACAAACACCCATCAATTTCCTCAGCTTAAGTAAAAAAAAGTACAACTCTTAGCAGAGCTCTCCTGATAGTACTTGCGCCTCCACTTAATCGTGCCGAACGAGGCCTTGATGCGATCGTGCGCATGGTCCATGAACGCTCCCACGTCAAACTCCTTCACCCACGAGGGTGCATCTCTGCAGGGGACAGATTGCATTCATCATCCAAGTAAGGCAAATGTCGCCACTGTTACGCGCTAGCAGTGGAACACGCTTCAGAATGTCCTCGACCTCGTCGAAACCCGTGCCCGCCAGGAGTCTCCCAATCATGATCCGCCCAGAGATGGTGGGTCACCTTCTTACGCGACGAAAATTCGAAAACCACTAATATTCGCAGTATATTCAATTATATAGGAATTTTTTATCGAACGAGATACGGTAAATCTTGCAGTGATGTCTCAAATCGTGAACCGTTACGTACAGTAGCAACCCCCATTATCCCGCTGGTAGAAACAATAGTTGCCACTTTCAGTGCACTATGCAAGTTAGTCAGAATTCTAGCCGGCTTGAAAGAAAGTATGGAGGCGTCGACTTACGATAGAACTGATTGGGCAGTGGCAAATAGCTCGGCATCTCCATCCGTCATTGTCTTGCCAGAAGAATTGGCATACCTGAGGGCCGGGATCACATCTCTGAGAGGGCGAAGTCAATATAACGCCATTCAAAAAGAAGAAAAGGAAGTAAAAAAGAAAGAAAAACAATGAAAAGCCTAGAATACTTACTCCAGGATATCCTGGACTCGCATATTCAGCAACATTACCACCATCTTTCGTCTCATCAATCGCTACTTCCTCAATGACAGTGACACCCCGGAAGCCTTTGTTGCAATGCTTGCCCTCTTGACGTTGGTCAAACCCCTGCAGCTGAGGTTCAACAGGCACTGCAACGGCTCTGGCAACCGACGCAAATCCGAAACAAATGTTGTAAAAGATGGCAGACTTCATTTTCTTAACCGTCGTGTAGATTACTGAGTAATGATGGGAGACAACAGTGTTGGACCAGGAGAGCGAATTTAGGTACACATTTCCTTCTACCGCACAGCCTTTTTTGGAGGATTAGATGTGATTCATTTATGCAACCGAGAAGGCGTACTGTTGTGATATACGGTGTTGCCCGTTGCTCGCGGATTTGCTGCATGCCACGATTCCCCGCCTCTGTTGATCCTTCAGCGGTCCATGAGGAAGGCTAGGGAAATGATCAGCTTATTACAGTCACCAATGCGTGATGAAAGACATACTGGCGGCTTTGCGTGTCCGAGTGGAGCTCCGGTGCAGAAATTGTCATAAACTATCTGAAAATCTGATATCAAGTGTGGTCGAGCCTGACAAGTGCGGTGCGGACAGGTGCCATCCAGCTACACTATCGACCGAGCAGCAAAAACCAGGTTAACAAGGACATCAATTTAGTAAATGTTTTTTGTACCATAGGGGAGGCGCTACGGTTACCTATCTCCTCGCGCATAGTGGCCTATTTCGGGCCAAAAACTTGTATCACGGGCTCATGCCGAATCACACCAGGCGAGTTTTGCAGCAGTTGCTTGACCGCCGAATGCCTCTCATCCGCGATGAAGAGCATGTTGTCCATCATTTTCCGGACGGTCTCGCCAAGACGTGCATCTCCCGCAGTATCCGCCCCTTTGGCAATTTGTTCCAGTCTCTTCAGCCAGAAAACCCACCTCTCAGGGCTAAAACCGGTCGGTGTGGCGCTGCCGCATAACGGGTCGTCGCGGAAGAGCTCACCGAGGCTGCAGGCGTCGCTCTTCCACCGGGCGTCGGCCAGCTGGACGATCTTGTGCCCGCAATGGCACAGCCAAGAGTTGACGGCCGGCAGGAGCGCAGCGACAGTGACGTCCTGCGGGAGCCTGGACGGATCTTCTCCATGCTCCTCCCCGGACGCCCCCAGCGGGCGCGGGGTCTCGAGCGCATCGCATAGCAGAGCGAGGCCGACACCGCTCAGCCTGTCCTGGCAGACACCGACGGACGCCAGTTTTGCCAAGAAGGTGACAAAGCTGAGAAGGTTGCTTGCGCTCATCATTGGCCAGTCCTGGAGCCAAAATCCAGTCATGTCTGGGACCAAAAAGGGCAGATCGGTCCAAATGATCCCATCAGAAGTCGTCGCCTCGGTTATGACGCTGGCGTCTGCGGGAGAAGGTCTGCGTAGTGAACCCAACTCTCTAGCCTGAATAATCTGGACCACAAGTCGGTCCAGCATAGGGTTCTGAGCGGTAGTATTCTTCGCAGCATGGTAGTAGGTGAACCAGAGATCGTGCAAGTCAATCTCGAACTCGCTCGCTGGCTTCTCAGAACTCGAGTATCGATGGTGTATGTTCTCTATAGAGCCGGCAGACTCCAAGAGCCGGTTGTTATCCCCCTCAGCTCGCGCTATCTCGGCAACCGAGCGTCGCAGCATGTTGGACAGAGTCAAACGAGTCACCGGGCTTGATGCCTTGAGCCGCTCGCTTTGGCCGCGTTCGGGACCCTTCTCATCTTCGGGCGCGGCTTGCATTCTCACAAGGGAGGCACGGAGTGCAGATGTCTTGGAGAAAGAAATGTTTATTAGGATGGTAAGGCTCGGGCTGATACTGTGTGTTTTATGAAATTGTGGCTGCTAGACACGCCTCCTTACCCCGCCTGAGATTGGAAGCCGTGTGACACTACCCCGTCACTGCAGTTCGGCGTGAGTTTTACAATGTCGCAACATATAGCCAATTTACGCGTCAAATGACAAACATGAGAAAATCAGGCTCGGGTATGCGGCAACTAACTCTGAGCCGGTGTTGATCTGTGTCTCTATCACAGCTATAAAAACAACCCTATCCACATGTGGTGGTGCATGATCTCCCCGACTTAATCATGGACAAAGAAGTTCAAGAGAAAATTTCGAACTGCTCTTAAAAATGAGACTTACAACTATCACTTCGCTCTTTATCGCCATTTTTCAAATTGTTGGTGCCCAGTCCGGCTGTGAAAATCAGTGAGTGACATAGGAGCTACGAACGACCCTTGTCTTGCATGTCTGACAACTTATTCTAGCGCCGATCCAGACTCGGGGTTCGGCAACTACTGCTATTGCAGCTCCAACGGTACGCGAAACAATGGAATAAATTAATGAGATTCTTTGTGGCTAAAGATAAGTAGGCAAATGTTATGGACATGGCGTTAAGGATGGTATGCATGTTTGCGACCCTGTTGGTCGGGAAGTTCCTTGCCCATAGGACTTATGAAAGTGAAGCTTATCCTTAATCTACAATACGCTCTATTTCTTGATTCCATAATAATATGAGCACCACCACCAGGCTATTCGTATACCTTGTAGACCTTGCGAACAAGGACTGGTGTGGCTTAGCAGATCACCATGGCCGCTACCTCATTGTAGGTGGTGTGAACCTTGAAAGCCTTGGTGAACGCCAGGTGGACAATGTTCCCTACTAATCTACTCCGATTCCGGCCAGTTTAAACGTACCGGCTGGTCCATACGTATGAAGGGAAAATGGTAGCTTCCCTAGCGGCAGCGCTTTGCCCTTCGAACAGGTGGTAGATTTGGACACGAACAATCTTCCGATTTTAAGATTGCGGGCGTTGGAGTGTCTGTTCAACTCGATCCACAACGAGAACGAGATATAAGAGTTGATAGCTTGGTCACAAGGCTAGAGATGCAGTTGCTTGTGCTCCCCTGATGTTGGCTTCCTTCATCTACACATGCATCAAGCCTCGGCATTCATACACAGCGATCCTAGCCTCTGCAATGGATATAAAAAGGTGTAAAAATATCAGGCTAAATATTTCCATTTGCAAGAGATGTGGATCTGCGTTTTAGGCGACTACAAGGCACCAAAGCAGCTAGCTAGTTGGAATTATTGAGGCCCAGAGTGTCGGGCAAGGTTCGGCACTCAACAGTTGCTCACCGAGAGCTCCCATTCCGCGGCGAATTTGCCAGCAGTGGTATTGTTCAGTAGACAGGAAACGGCGCCGAACTAGTTAAAAGTAAGGCTGAGGTTCCTGCAGATTTACAAGGCTCGCAGCAAACACTAGCCCGTCTGCAGCCTTGCAGCACTTCGGGTCCTCGGATGTTTCGTAGACAGAAGAAAACCAGTCCGCAAGATGAACAAATTATCTATGTCGCTTGATACAGAGAGTCACGCATTCAACTAGGCCTTCGTCGCTTTCGATGAGTGTACGAAAACTGAAGTGCTATATTCGTGCAACGCGACGGCTTTGCCCACCAGATGCGTCTTCGCACACTTGCCACAGCAGGTTCAACAGGGAACTGGATACACAGACCCGACGCAGTGGGAAATTGAGATCGTTCAGGCCACAGACTGTCCGGCCACGGGAGCCAATGTGAGCATTCCCGTCGCGACCAGTGCCACCTGTGTCAGCGTTGGCATCTTGCTTCTCCCTGTTCGGCGTGTCGGCGCACAGTACAGGTTGCCAGCTTACAAGAGCTTCTCAAAAGCAGCATCCAGCCGTGTGTCAGTGATGTTGCGTCGTCAACAGAGAGGCACGGGCCGATCGTGACACGGCTAACTTCCGTCCAGACCAAGTTATGAACGATGCCGGTTCTCGGCAATGTCCTACTTGAAGGTGTGATTAATGTAGCGTGAAAAGAGGTATCCTTCCCTTTTCCGCCACCAGCATGGCATCGACCCTCTGTGCAACACACTGCGCTCACAATAGATTGAGAAGTAGGCTCTCATCGGCCGGTAAGGGAATGCACGACATCTTTGAACACGACCAAGACTGATTTGTCTCTCGTTGGTGGTCTCGGAGGCTCAATTGGGCAGGCCACAAGAACGAGGCTCGGCGCACTGGGTAGGCTGTGCAGTATCACCTTCCAGTCCGGGAAGCTGGGGAGATGTCCATTATTGACTCGTGACGAACAATGCTGGTCTTTTCATGCGCCGAGCTTAGGAGCAGCAAGCACAAATTGACTTCCTCGACGAGGATAGCGTGGACAAAAGAGGGGACATGATTCGAATTGGGGCAGCTCGGAAAGAGAGGCCGGGATTGGAAAGGGGACGATGAATATAACTAGCACGGACGACAAGTAGACCTCTGTGACGAGAATTGTCAGCAGAGGCTGGGCGGCAAAGTCTCCGGAGCGGCCAATGAGAGCTCCCAGTGAGGTGACGGGTGTGAGGTTGGGCGGGTAGGGGCAGGGTGATGTGATCCTGGATTGAGATCGGCCGTGGTGTGATGATGACGAGTGGACGGATGGAAATGATTGTGAGCGATATAAATGATATTAGGATTAATATTGGATTCGGCGTGTGGTTGGTGAGGGCATGTATGCTTGCAAACGGGGAGCTCGTGTTTGATGAGGACGGTTAGGTGTTCTTGAGGCTCTCTTTCAGGGCACTTTGAGGCCTCTTTGGCGCTGTAGCCTCGTTGTTCTCGCCTTCCAGGGGACTTTTATAGTGGATGCAGCGCCAGGAACCCCGCTGGCAGCCCCTGTCGAGGACCAGCCAATGCGAGGAATTGACGAGCTTTTTATTTTAGTGGGTTTCCCGCCGGTGATAACCCCTCATTGGCCCCCCCAAGACCATCATCATCCTCTAGCCGCCCGCCCACCATTGCTCCTGCCAGCTTGTCGACTCCATATATATATATATATAATCTTGCTATCAACCACCATCCCATCTGTTCATCTACTCTTGCTCGTCCCGGCTTCATCTTATCTTGCGCCAGAGTCATCAGCTTCCCATCATCACTAGATCCCGTTGGCCTCGCTGCAGATACGCTGTTTCTCCCGCACGCACCGCGCCTGCCGCTCGCCGTTTGCCGTTTGAGCCTTTTCTGCCCCGCATTCCGTTATTTTTGTGCCCGCGCCCTCCTCGCCTGTACGCTCAGAATCTCGCCGCCATGGGCGATCTCCAGGGACGCAAGGTCTTCAAGGTCTTTAACCAGGATTTCATTGTCGACGAACGCTACACTGTGACAAAGGAGGTCGGACAGGGTGCTTACGGCATCGTCTGGTGAGTCGTGCGCCGGCGTCGTGGCCAACGAGCTACCCCGCGCCATCCTCGTTTACCCGTGAAGCCACGGCTAACCGTCGCGCTTCGTGCTTTGTAGTGCCGCCGTTAATAACCAAACCTCGGAGGGTGTCGCCATCAAAAAAGTCACCAATGTCTTCTCCAAAAAGATTCTCGCCAAGCGGGCGCTGCGCGAGATAAAGCTGCTCCAGCACTTTCGCGGCCACCGTAATGTGCGCTCACCCGTCGTGCCCCGATACCCTGCACGCAGCCTAGCTAATCGCTTGGCCAGATTACTTGCCTCTACGACATGGACATTCCACGGCCGAATGATTTCAATGAAACCTATTTATACGAAGGTCAGCCCAGCTACCTACCTGAATACATTGTACAAGCCCATGCTAACACTTGGCAGAGCTCATGGAATGCGATTTGGCTGCCATTATCCGCTCAGGCCAGCCCTTGACCGACGCGCACTTCCAGTCCTTCATCTACCAGATCCTTTGCGGTCTCAAGTACATCCACTCGGCCAACGTGCTGCACCGTGACTTGAAACCAGGCAACCTGCTTGTCAACGCCGACTGCGAGCTCAAGATTTGCGATTTTGGTCTTGCCCGCGGCTTCTCTGTCGACCCCCAGGAGAATGCTGGCTATATGACAGAATACGTAGCCACCCGATGGTACCGTGCGCCCGAAATCATGCTCAGCTTCCAGAGCTATACCAAAGCTAGTACGTCAGGGCTCATTGCATTGTGAAAGCCCTCACGCTAACCCAAGTAGTTGACGTGTGGTCGGTCGGTTGCATTCTCGCTGAACTTCTCGGCGGTCGTCCATTCTTTAAGGGTCGTGACTACGTCGACCAGCTCAACCAGATTCTTCACATTCTCGGCACCCCCAACGAGGAGACGCTTTCCCGCATTGGCTCACCCCGGGCCCAGGAATACGTCCGCAACCTGCCGTTCATGCCCAAGCGATCCTTCCCTAGCCTCTTCCCCAACGCGAACCCCGACGCCCTGGACCTGCTCGACAAGATGTTGGCCTTTGATCCCTCGGCGCGCATTAGCGTGGAACAGGCGCTGGAGCACCCGTACCTGCACATCTGGCACGATGCCTCGGACGAGCCCGACTGCCCCACGACGTTTAACTTTGACTTTGAGGTCGTCGAGGAGGTGCCCGAAATGCGTCGTATGATCCTTGACGAGGTGGCGCGCTTTCGCCAGATGGTGCGCACTGTGCCCACCGCCGGCCCCGCCCTGACACAGATGCAGCAGCAGCAGCAGGTGCCCATGCCTCAAGGCTCGACGCAGTGGAAGTCGGAGGACCCCCGGCCGCAAGAGTACATGGGCGGCGCGAACGGTCTGGAGCAGGATTTGGCTGGTGGTCTGGACGCCAGCATGAGATAGATGGTACACGGCACGTGCCAATCAAGTTGCGATGGGCTATGGGCGTTGGGCCCTGTATACTGTCAGGGTTGTGTAGCAGCCAAGAAAAAGGTCGACTGCGTGTTGGATTTCTAATGACCAATGATTACATAGGAACTAAGAATATCTTGGAGAAGAAAGTCAAGGTGACATGGATGCCGGTGCAATCTCCGTAGCCGCCTCGGACGGGAAGAATTGGGGCCTTGGATGGTAGGTCACGCCAGGTGGCCGGCATTGTGACAAGCAGCGAATGGCGGACATTTGCCAAGAGATGTATTCCAAAAATGATGTGGGCGCATGGTGCCAAGTTGCAGGGTTGTTGGCGGTATTATAACGGGTTGCATGTTATTGGGGGTGGTATTGGCGCCGTGTTTTACTGCGACGACGTGCCAGCCATGGAACTGAATTGCAACACGACAGGCAAAATGAAGAAGTCGGTGTAAGCGAGATTAGATAGATACTTGATCAAAAAAAATGATATTTCCATGTAAAGCTTTTTAACGATTGAAAAGGTCATCTCCATGATAAAGATGAAGACGGCGTGAGAAACAATGTAAACCTTTCTATGCCAAACGAGCCGTGTAATGCGAATATAAAAACAAGAAAACAATAAACTGATGGCCGCACCCCAAATTTTAAGCTCGACCATGAAAAAGACGAGAAGCAACATTAAAGGTATCTAGCGAGTGCAATGAAAAGAAAGATGACAAGGGAAGCAAGTCTATCAGCAGCGGTGACGGCATCAAGGCAGGCTTAGCCGTAGAACCAGTAAGTAGCAGTGTAGCTAGTGCTGTCGCCGCCAGCGCCGTTGACACAGCCATGCGAGTTTCCGCCGGCAGTGAGGACGCGGTAGACAAACTTGGCCGGGCCGACGGCGGCGTCGGTGGCGCTCAGCTTGAGCCAGGCGACGGCGCCGGTGCCATCGGGGCCGGCGGAGGCCTCGACGGGGGCGTCAACGGCCTCGTCCTTTCTGGAGGTGAGGAAGATGCTGCCGTTGTCGAGGTAAAAGGCGGGGACGCCCTTGTCGGTGAAGAAGTGGTGGCCAATGTAGGCGAGGGGCTCGTTGACGCCGTCGACGACGAGGCCGGCGGGCGGGGCGAGGAAGGGCTCGGTGAGGGAGGCGCCGGGGTGGGCCGGGTCGGCGCGGTCCAGGCGGTTGTCGAGGTTGAGCGGGACGGGGTGGGTGGCGAGCACGTCGGCGGGCAGCTGGGCGAACTGGGCCGCGGAGGCGAGCGAGCGCGGGCCCTGCTTGGGGTAGAGCGGACGGGCGTCGTAGAGCACGGCGAGAGCGCCGGTCGCGGTCGGGGTGGCGCCGGCGGCGGCGCAGGTGTAGTTTTGGATGCCGAAGCCGAGGGCAATGTGCAGCAGCTTGAGGCCGTCCGGAGGGTTGGTGAGTTCCTTGGCTGTGGCTGTGTTAGTCGGGGGGGAGTCAATTGGGGAAAGCAGCAAAGGACGTACCGCCGCCGGTGAGAGGCAGAGTAGGTGTCGCGGGCTTCGGCGCGGCGCAGGCGGCTGGGGCGGCGAGCACAGAGGATGCCAGAGAGGCGAGCAGCAGCAGAGACTTGGAGAGCATCTTTGCACGAGGGAAGGAAGAAGAGACGAAAAGAAAAAAAAAAGTGTAAAAAAAGAAGAAGAGAAGAAGAAAAGAACAAGGGAGGGAAGCAATGTATGTCTTGGATGTTGAACGGGTTTGAAGATCAGAGGCCGGATTGGGAGAGGATTGTCTCGGGTATAAGTTATATAGATGGAGTTGTTGGTGGGTGGTGGGTGGTGTATACAGATAGAGTGAGAGGAAACCTGGTCGACGGGATGGGATGTTGGCAAGCGAATTGGTAGAAGGCGTTATTTTTTTGGGGGAGTTTCCCAGAATAGAAACCGACTTGCTGCAGGGTTGTGATAACGTGGTACTAGGGATGGGCTGTATGGTTGGTGTGGGTTTGTTGCTGTTGTACTCCGCCAGGGCGCTTGCAGATGAAAATAAAAAAAACGGTCTGGGCGACGCTTTGTGGTTTCTAGGTTGGTGCGAGCTATGGTCGTTTTTTTTTTGTCGACAGCACAAACGGTTTTAGAAGAAGCGACTGTGGTGGTTGGTTCTTTGGAGGAGGCTGGGGAAAGTTTGGCTTTATATCTATCGCTATCGCCCCTTCAACGTGGGGGGTCACGGACACAACGACACGAAACCAGACGTTTGGGATAGACTTTATTCGACGGAAAGGAGTTGTCCCCTGCAGCCAGCCTCTTTTTTCCTTTTTTATTTTTTAATAATTAGTTAGCTCAGCTTCCCTTCTGACGTGACCGGGGGGGGGCTAAGCGGGCGGGGAGGCTTGCCCAGGAGCTTATATGACGGGCGGTAAACTTGCTGATGTGGGCTTTGGGGCTGCTGACTGGTACACTAGCATCGATGAGGAAAGGACGTTTTTTTCTGTCTGTGTGTTGGTGCGGCTGGGGTTGGAACCAGCCCCCTGTGCAAGACAGACGTTCTTCCAACTGTGATTATGAGAAGGCAATGATGGAGGGATGGGACGTATTGTCCATGTATCCGGTAGTGGTGCTTGCATGGGTGCTGCACGACGCGAGACACCACGAGGCTCGATTATATCCGGCCAACCGGTTCCACACAGGGGGGATTGCTGGGCGAACAAACGACAAAACGTTTGGGAACAAGGCTGCGTTGTCTTGGTCATGGCGAACCCCCCGTCATCACACACTCCCCCCCAGGTTTTATGTCGAACACACACACACCCATTACGTCTCCGGATCAGCAATCGGGTCTGCTGCCCGTCAGATTGAGACAACCCAGGGATTGTGGTGTGGCGGGGACGAGAAATTGCTGAGTGACTTTTTAAAAAAATCACCCTTGCCCTGTCCCATGATACCGCATTCTCTCTCTTACTTTTATTTGCAAAATATAAAATATCCTACTCGTCCATCTCCCCCACGCCCCCCCCGCCATCTTACACCACATGTGCCACCTACGGGCGCTTAATTCACAACAGTTTATTAGCTTACCGGCCCCAAATATAGATTTTTACTTTCCCCGCTGGTCCTTGTTGGCTTGTGGTGTTGACTAGTGCCGGCGGCTAAAAAGCTCCCGGTGCAAGTGTCGCTGAAGAAAATGCCCAGCCGTCGGAACCACCAACCCCCCATGACCCCTGTGGAAAGACCCGAGACAAGTTGCTCATCCGGGTTTCTCGGTAAGCTACATTTTTTTGCTGCTGTTGACCCCGGAAACCACGTTGCTTACAACTCGCCAAGGCCTGGCACCTCTTTTTCTTCTTCGTTTTTCTTGCCTGTTTCAGACTGCTGGGCACGCCCGATGAGCAAATCTGCACGAGGGCCAAAGCTAAAACAGTTCCTTTCCCCGAGACGAGCCACACCAAAGAGGTTCTGAAACGCCGTCTTCTCCGGCCTTGCTCTGCCCTATTGTGGCTCAGCTGCCCACCGTTCGGCCGGGTCGGACAGACCCGCGCGTGCATCGTACGGATTTGGACAGGCGAGCAGAGAAATCTGATAACTACCGCAGCCGTGCCTCCGTGACGAAGCAATTTTTTTTACACATCTTTTTTTTCAGGCACCGTCTGTTCAATTCCCCCGGTCGGCACGCTGCTGGGCCCAACTCAGCCCTGCGCTGTCTTCGGCAACCGGGCCACGGTGCTCTTCCGATTTCTGCGTTTTACAAAGTAAAACTTTCTTTTTCTTTCTTCCCTCCTGATGTGAGCTGTTCGAAACTGGTTTCACCGCGACGAGGTTGAAAAAAAAAAAAAAACAATCCGCGTTTCGCAACGTTTTAGGGCGAACGCATTGACCGGCCCCCCTCTCCCCCAAAGGCTCGGCGTCTTTGTTCTAGTGCGGCGGATGGTTCGTCAATGGGAACCGAGCTAGCTGGAGGGGATGGGAGCAAAATATGAAACTGGGGCAGAGTTGGCCGAGATGGCTCGATTTTGATGCGCATCGCCTCATCGAGCGAGGGGGGAGGGATGCAAAGGCTGTGCTTCACCTTCAGCTTGTCGCAGCCTGATGGCCATGGGGGTTTGGCAGAGCCAGCGGTTTGCGTGGTAGCCAAGGTACAACAAGACTCGGGCGTTTCATGTTGGCTGCTGCCCTGGGGCCAAGAAATCAATCATGTGCGCTCGGTCTGTAGCAGAAGCGCACACCGAGACGTCGGCGGCGCCCGGCCGGTGTCGAGCCGAGGGAACTGCTTCGCATAAAAAGCGAGGCGAATAGTTAGGGTAGGTTGATCGGCGGTAGACGTTGGAAGAGTACAGTCGTGCAACTCGCGGACTCCGTGCTTGAGGACAGCAGCGGACTGGAACTTTGCAACCTTGATATTTTCTTGCTTCCGCGGGCCATGCAACCTACTATCCTATCCAGGTAGCCTAAATTACAGAATCTTTAAGGACAAGACTTGGGGAAACCCTAGGTGAATGGCCCGACTGGGGGAATTTCGTCTGCGAATGAGCACAGAACTCCAGACCGGAGGCGGCTGGCTTCAGTAGAATATCCATTGAGCTGAGCAGGACGGGGCTTTGAAATTTGAGAATGCCTTATTAGATGGGAAGTTGCTGGAATATTATTAAAGCAAAGGATTGAGTACATTTATTAGCCACATAACACACACCCGTTATACCACATACGCACAGAGGGAGACAGCTGCGTGCGTTAGAAGGGAAAGCTACATAATATTGGAAAATTGTGGTGCAAGGCAAAGGCACTTTCCCGCGCCAATTCTGCACATTATTGGTAAAAGTTGCATATGGGCTGCATCAACAACCATGTCCAAGGCACTGCTGCCTTGATAGTGAGCCTTTGTCAGTTTCCATTCAGGTGAGCACAAATATTCGGTCTTTGCCTTGGGCAGCCTTCTCCCCTCACTCATCTCCCACAAGCCCAAGAGCGAGCCAACAAAACCTCTCATTGTAAGTACTAGCTTCGGACGAATATGACGAGGATGTCTAACAGCAGTGTGGCAGAGCTCGTCGTCAAGGTCATCAACATGTCGTCCAATGAAGACTCGGCAAAGCGGACCGGGGCGTTCGAAGACCAGGCGACAGCATTCGCGATGGGACTTGGTAAAATGGCCGACAGCGCAGTTAAGCAAGGAAATATATCGAGGGTCAAGAGGGGGGCGGCGTCGGCCTTTGCGGTGGCTTCTAACTCTACAACACCTCAAGTAATCACCCAAGGCTACAGCTCTCAGCAGAACCGCAGCGCCACGGGATCTGTCCTCAAGGACTATCAAGAGGAAAAGTAGCCAATACCAGAGCGTACAAGTCTATATGTTGACCCTATGCAAGCAGGCAACTTAAAGCTGGCCTCTTATTGGCCAGCGCGTGGGCAGGAGACCCACTTTTAAGGGCTATAAACCTATTAATCCTAGCTATTAAGGAAGGTAGTATTTATATTAGAGTTATCTAGATTATCTTAATTATTAAGAACTAAATTAATATTATTATTATTTTTATTATTATTTAAATATACCTTAATTTTAATACTAATTAATAGTTATTAAAAACTATAAATAGTTAAGATAAAGAAAAGGTAGATTAATTATAATTTCTTTTATATTATTTAAGGTAAAAGATTATTATTTACTATAATCTATAAAGATTATTTACTTTATTATTTATTATAAAAAAACTTCTTTTAAAGAACTTAATTAAAGTATTTATTACTAAATTAATAATCTATATTTAACCTAAGACCTTCTTAAAAGGATTTATTAATAGAATAAGCCTAATTCCTACTATTTATTAGTATTAAAAATAATAATAAATATACTTTCTATTAAATCTAGAAGCTAAAAAATAAAAATAATAAATAACTTAAAAAGATTTTTAAGATCTTTATTCTTAATAGATAATAATAACTAAGACTATTAAAGAGTTTATTAAGAATATAAAACCTTAAGATATTTATTACTAAGCTAGTCTTAAAGAATAGTAAATAAGCTAAAGATAGAAAATATAAGTACTATAAAGCTATTATTATTAGATTAATTCTATAGTATAATAAAAGCTATAATAAAAAGATAAATAGAGAACTAACTATTAAAAATTAACCTAAATATAATAATAAAGAGGGATTTAAATAATATAACTATATAGATATAGTTATATCTTAAAATATTAAGATAGAAATATTAATTCCTTAATAAAACTCTTCTTATTTTTTAAAAAGAGTTTAAAAAGTAGTAGCTAGCTATATTTAGTAGGCTTAGCTAATATATTAAAAGGGAACTTTATAATTTTCTTTAAAGTAGAGGTATCTATATACTAATTAGACTAGGTATTAAGATATAAAACTAACTAGTAAAACTATTAAAAATAAAGAGGCTATTAAAATAGCTAGGAAAGAATAAGGATTACCTAAATTATATTAAAATACTATTATTAGGACCAACAAGGTATATATAGGGTAAGAGGTAAAGTTATTATATTATATAACTTCTATCTAGTTATATAGTATAGGTAAGTACTAGATATACTAGGTAATAGGAGATTATTCTTCTAGCTTTAAAGCTACCTATTATTACTCCTACTTAATCTATATTAACTAAGAAAAATAACTAGAAATAACTATAAAGAATAAAAATAATAACTATAAAGAATAAAATAATAACTATAAAGAAAAGTAGTAACTACTATAGCTATTATAATATACTATAATAATAGCCTAATTCTCTTACTTACTAATAGGTATAATAATACCTATTAGTATACCTAAGTTACCTTTTTCTTCTAGGTATAAGGTAGCTTATAGTTATACTAAGTATAAAATAGCTTATAGTTATATTAGGTATAAGGTAGCTTATTATTATATAAGGGGCCTTATTACTATATAAAGGGCTTTATAACTACTATATTTTCTACTTTTTACTTATAAGGTAATTTAACTTAAAAACCTATATAAATAAATTTTATAGAAAATAAAAGTTATACTATAAACTATATTTAATAAAGGCGCCTTATCTTAAAGGCTATAGAATATATAAAGGATTACTAGCTAAGGTATATTAGGTACTATACTAGTATTATACTAGTACTAAGTATACTATACTAATACTATACTAATACTATATTAGTACTAAGTATACTATACTAGTATTATACTAGTACTAAATATACTAATTAACTATAATAATCTTAAGAATAATAGAATAGTAATAAACTTATAAAAGCTTAGGCTTTTATAAGATTATAACTATAAAGAAGTCTTAATAGTTATAAGACTTATAAAGCCTTATAACTTATAACTATAAAAGGCTTATTATAATACCTTTAAAAGGTAATATCTTAAAGATATAGTATTAGTTAGCTTATAATAGTCTTAAAAG